GGCCTCATTTGAAGTTGACGGCAGCGTGGCACTTCCCCACCTATTGTCATTTAAAATATCCGAAAAGTGTTTTGAAGGAGAAGCTGGACGAGCTTATTTTGAAATCACTGCACAATATAAATGGAGTTTGAGCTTGTGATATAACTTCCCAAAGAAACCTGCTAGGTTTTTTATGTTTAATATTCAAATACGTCGCCCAATGCTAATACATACAGTAGATCAAAATTGGCAAAAACTTCCACTCGTGCAATAACTCAAAGGTGGGATGAGGCGTTCATATAGAAAATAACTCCCCGCTAGACTGAGATCCCACTTAGCACAATGCAAGATCCTACCTAGCCCAGCTGGCTCGTCTCTCCTAAGAATGGTTTTTCAAATTTCTACTCGCATTAACATGACATGCGGATCTCGCACAGGCGAGTTTCCAGGTTAGTTGGGCTCATATGAACAAGCCCAAATCCGAGCACAGCTAACCGTACGAATTCTCCCGGTCCCATGTCAACGTACTATAATTTTAATTTCAGCGCCTCAAGAATTTCTCGCCAGTCTTAACAAAAGAAGAATGTAAGACAGCCACGTTGAAACGAAATAATTGCAAGAATCGCACGATGGAAATACACCCAGGTAAGTTTGTCTTCTTCCCAGAAAATTTCCCATACTCCAAAGAAGCACGTATCTAAGGCTGAGTGACTGTTTAGTTACATTGGAGAGATTTAGAACGACAAGATTTTTGGGCATCGCGCTCGAAAGAACTAATGGAGATGGTTTTTTGTAGATGAAATTTTCGCAAATGTATGTACATTTTACTTTCTACTGGCATCACATGTATTCGTGCATGGATATGATGCTGAGCAACTAGGCTTTGTAGCTCAGTTGCAGGTTCGATTCCTGTCGTGCAGAGCCAGCAGAGGGCGTATAGTCCCATTTTTTGCAACAGTTTCTAGTTAGGTTTAAAAATGTACAGAAATATGCGATCGAAAATTCCATTTAACGGCCAACGCAAAATAGGCGGTTAGACATGTGAAGTTTTCCTTCTAACGTTGGATCAAAATTGTAATTTAGCGACAGTTTTGTAGGTCAAGCTTAATAAAGTTGCCGCCATATTGTATTTATCATCACAACTGCTGAATGCACTCAATGCACTTTTTCTTTTCTGTGTATTAAAGTATTTTTCTATTTATACATGATATATATCCAATTTTCAAACTCAAAACTCTTCAAGAAAGGTTGCCTCTCCGTTTAAAAATGGTATCCAAAACTTTAAACGCGACGTCAGTTTCCTTTCTATACATTCTACACTAACGATAACATTTTTTTATTTTCAGCTGACTTTGCGAGGGTCCCACTGTCTTCGAGTTCATCCAATTCTGACTATATCAACGCAACATTTGTTGATGTAAGTTCTGTATGTTTGTCTGTCTGTATTGATTATAAAGGCTAGCTAATTTCCACTCGGGAAACTTCCAGCCACTCTCGGTGCGTCCAATCCCGGACTCACCTGCCTGCAAGTATGTATGTTATAGAGCTACGAGGTCAAGTCGGTTCGAATGGGTGATATTTCGGAACACTAGTTCCTTCGATATATTCCCTGCCCGGTGTGGGCACACTCAGAGACAACATCACAAACATAAATTATGATTTATATTTTAGTGCCCAACAACAGATTTAGGCTAACCTAACGTTTACACTATTAAGTATTTATACGATAACTGTCCGTAGCGGTGCGAAAAAGCACTTATCTGATACAGAATATATTTTGAGTGCTCGATTGCCCAATTTTTAGGCTTGTGGTTCTCAACCCACTTGTTATTTCATTTGGGGGTTTTACTGTAGTCCACTGGGAAAAATCGCCGAACCGATGGTCTAGTGTAATTCAGAAAGTCCACTTATTCATTGTAATTTGATTTGATTTCAGGGTTTTCAACAAAAGAACGCTTACATAGCAACCGACAGTCCGCTGGTTAACACGTTTGATGACTTCTGGCAAATGATTTATGAACAACGATCACCTCTTGTGATTATGTTGAATAACTGGAAAGAAGGACGCGAGGTACCTATAGTCAGCACTTTCAATACAATGAACTGCATTCCGCATTGCATTGCATTGCATTGCATTGTACTGTATTGTTTTGTATTAAAATGCAACAAAATGGAATGCAACATACAATGCAATATGATACTAGTTTACTCACAGGGTAGTGAATGCTGCCTTGGTGTAGCATTGTTCCCAAATCTTTAGTATTTTAAAGAACAAGAATAAGAAATATTCGTAATGAATTGGAATCATCCATAATTTATACATCAACATTTTCAATTAGACCAGGAGTTAACGTAATGCAATGCAATACATTGCTATACAATAGAAAAGGATAACATAGGGTAAGACGGAATGCATGCAATGCACCGCAACGCAATGCAACATAATACAATACAATATACAACCCAATACAACACAACACAACACAACACAACACAACACAACACAACACAACGAATACAATACAGTATTTAACAAAAGTCCTAAATCAATGTTTTTTTAGAAATATCCTGAATACTTTCCAACCGAAAAAGGATACACAACGAAATATGGCAATATTTATATCAGACTTGACGAGCATGTTGCTGATAAAGCGATTGTCTTCCGAAAGTTTACCATTTCCTCAACCTCGGTTTGTATTTTGATTTTCCTGTAAAGCATAGACAATCGAGACGAATTGACTGGAAACGCCATTTTTTGCGCCTTAGCAGGAAAGTAGACAGCTAGAATTTATGTTTCGTAGAAATATTGTTTGGGGTTAAATAAATTTTATTAAAAAAGCATAATATTAACATTACCCTTTTAAGTTGCACGAATGATGATAGCTTTTTGCATTGGCATTGGAAGTCCAATCTCTCGATTCAGGGCAAATGAAGGTGGTCAACTCTTCAACTCATGACTCTATCAATTCTATTCATTTGCAATTGTCCCCAAATTCGAGATTGCTTTATACAAAGAAAATAATTCACATTATTTCTTCACTATATATAAATTTGTCGATTTACTGCAAGACAATAGAGAGCTTTAGATTTTAGTGCGAGTTAAGACAACGGCCGATTCGTCTATTTCGATACGCCATCGTGTACTGACGCCTTTTAAATCTCGTATGCCACATAATGGCGTAATGTCGTAAGAGGATAACGAGCATGTGCAAACAACGAATTCATAGTAATGCATTACAAACTATCGTATGAACTATGAACAGCATACCACCAATGTTTCTAAGAATTGCTGATTTTATTTGCTGTAGGATTTTGAAAATCCAAACATTGTCCGCCATTTCCAATATATACAGTGGCCAAAACGAGGTGTTCCTGAAAAACCAAATGATATGCTTCAGCTTATACAAACAGTACAGACAGCCCAGCGACAGAATGTTCAAGGTCCTATGGTTGTCCACTGCAGGTACAAGAGTACACTTTACTTATATTTATTGGAAAATTTAACTGACTAACAAATAATTTCTTTTGTTGAAATTAGCATTGGGGAAAAATAACTTGGCAAGGGTAAAACTGAAACTGCATGCGATAGTCTAAATACAAATCAAAACAATAATCTTAATTAGCTTCAAATTAATATTTAACTGACATAGGATCTGTTTGCATGATCCTGCTTATCGAGATCCTTCGCTTAGCGGGACGAATATTTCCAATGTTTATGCTTAGTGGGACGAATATTTCCTTGTGATGCACCATAATCCACAAAAAAGTGAAAAAATTGCATATTCTAAAATCTACCCATCATCTGAATCTGAGATTACCTCAAAGGTTGCGAACTGAGAAATTTTTTCTGCCATAGCAATGGTGCCGGGAGGACAGGAACATTTCTCACTATTAGTATATGTATGGAAAGATTGAAAGTGGAACAAAGAGTTGATGTATTTCAGTGCATTAAACTGATCCGAGAACATCGTCCACAGTTTGTTGAGAACGAGGTATGTTGAACGAGTGTAGTGTCTTACTTACCCTTCGTTGCCCCTTAAGTGATTTTTAGTGAAAATAGAGTTGAGGTCTGGGTGGTGGGGGAGGATTTCAGAAATATTTTATATTTTTTGACGCTTGATGGCTGCGTATCTGGATAATTCTGAAGGAAAACGACAAAAAAAATTTAGGTGAATACTTTCAGAAGCTTTGTGACAGCACATTTGTATTGTATATAGAACTGCACGTTAAAAAATCTCTATCTATTTTTTCAGCTTCAGTTGAAGTTTTGCTACGAAGTTCTCGCCAAATACATCGAATCATTTGAGGGATACTCAAACTTTATCGCTACAGATTGATTTTTACCATTAATTCTATAAATCTCATTCACCTGGGGTAACTGTAATTAAAGTAATCAGTACTAACTGGGGATAACTTTAAACTAATCAGTACTATTATTTTGGGATAACTTTAATCTAATCAGTAATAATCGATAGTTAGATGTATAACATTTATTGCGATATAGTCGGTTTAAACATTGGGGTTTGGTTAACTAATGAGTATATATATACGTGGAATCTCACAGCACAGTAGCCTCCTCTGCTGGCAAATTAAAGGCGAGTGAGATTACGAAATACTTTTGTAAAGGCGAGCTTACGAAATACGTGGCAGAAATTTTCTGACTTCCAGCAATTAATTGATATAATCTTGAATGTTCTGTGCCATTGTAGATACATACGCCCGTATTTTAAAAGCTCACTCACACTCAATGAGTGGAAGTTCATCTGAGCTTCTCTCGAGTGTCATTGCTGTTTTTGAATAGCTGGAGGGTTAGTGTCGTACCTTACTCACCCTCCAGCTATTCAAAAACAGCATTCACACTCAACATAAGTTCAGATTGAACCTCCACTCATTGAGTGTGAGTGAGCTTTTAGAATACGGGCGATGTAGTGTCAATAATTAGAAAGCTGCGGAATGATATAGGGATACAACTACCTGAAAAATACAAGGAGAACTTGGACGTTTTGAGCGAAGGCCCTTCGTCAGTAGGTTAGTAGCCAACTTCCTGATGAAGACCTTCGCTCGAAACGTCGAAGTTCTTCTTGTATTTTTCAGGTAGTGGTATCCCTATCAATCCGTAGCTTCCACCAATAGACTCCTTTCGCAAGATAACATCACAACCTCGTCTCAGCCCGCTTTACGCGCGGTTATGGTTATGGCGATAGTGCCTGACACAAACCTTTATCTGCTCGCTATCCGCCCCACAATGTCTCAGAAGAAATGTCAATGTCACTGAATAACAACAACAATCTATTAGTTATAGTTGAAACTACTAAATATATCATGAAAATATAATTAGTATTAACCAATCAAAACGACAGGTTAAATTTCTATGTCTGTTGGACTAATCAGGTGGCTTCAAAACATGTATTATTATTTGGTTATTTGACTTGATTTCAATAATGTTGACGCGTATGTTTTGATCGATTTTCTTCGATGCCTAAGCAGAATGAAGCCCGTCCTAGCACATATCTCGGGCAAGAAAACAATGTACAAAATACGTAATACGATAAACACCATAGCAAAAAGGAAAATCTATAATAAAATGTCTCTCTCGTGATATTTTTATGGCTTTTTCAAACATCTTTCAACACAATTCGGAAATATGTATTTACCAAGACCGCTCAAAAAGGGCCTGGAACGAGGTTGTGAAGCTAAATAACGCCTCCCAATTCAATAATACCGTGATCTATAAAATGTTCCGTAATTCTGCCACCTAATTGCCTGCAGAGGAAACTAACAGGATACTAGGATAGCATAGGATATCAATTCCAAGCTAAACATGCGCACGTTAAACACCCTTATATAGACATTAATAGAGAGGTTCAGATTTGACTTCAACTACCGCTGCCATGAGGAGACCAATCACATCCAATGAACAAATCAGATGCGTGATAATGGCGTGCATGAGTGATAGTGGTAGCAGTAATGCAAGTAAAATCTGAACCTCTCTTTTAATTAATTATATGAGCCTACGGTATTGCATACGTCAAATTCTATTTAACATACGTCAAAATGCGCTTTGTGTTGCAAATGTTCCATAAAATGTTTCCTATTTAAATAAGTCGTATAAAATGATATTAAAATATTATGCATATCAAAGATATCTCTGTGTACTTTTTTCAATATTTGTTGAAAGCGCGATCTGACTATAGTTACAACTATAGTTGCAAACTGGCACTTGAAAAGTTGTTGAAACAAAGCTGTTCAATTTTATCGGTAAAATATTTGAAGACTGAAGATAAACAGTCAGCTATAGCCATCTTATATAAAGTTGTATAATTTAAACTATTCGAAACAAATATGTTGCATTTAATTTCGGTCTAAATAATGCTGGAAATTGTAAATTTTATTGTGTAAACCAGTATTCAGTAGTAGTATTTAGTAGTCTAGATTTCAAAATTTGGGGGGGGGGGAGGGTGCATGCCATCACATTGGTAATTTTTGCTTTGGTCGACTCCCTAAAATAACTGAGCTTTCTAGGCCTCTGTGTGGTTGAATCGTCAACATCGTAGCAAGTGTTGGGCAAGGCACTCAGCTATGCGAGACGTCTAAAAATCCACGCACACTTCCCCAAACGTCTCTCTAAAGCTGGAGTTACAGGGGCAACAAAATTTTCAACGCATGTTAAGTAGAAATGTCGACACATGTTGCCTTGTCATTTGTAATTTATGTGTAAACATTTATACTTAACATGCGTTGAAATCCGATTTTGTTGCAAGTTGCAGCAATTTTGTTGCTCGTGTAACTCCACCTTAAATTTGTCGAACAATCCCTAAAATAAGTTCTTTGAATGTTTGCATGGCGATAAAATATAATTGTTTTTGTTTGTGGAAACACCACGTAAATTTATTACTGCAAAGCTTTCGATCCGTAAGCCCGGATCACAGAGTAGATAATACATACAGAGACGTAACTGACCGTTGTAAACACTGCGGAAGATTACGTTATCATGTACCCACTTTTTTTCAGGCGACCGGGCGAAAAATGATCAACTGCGCGTGCTCAGCAAGTTTAAAGTGAGTCGTCATCAGGTCGTCATCCAATCAGATGCATGCATCTGGTAACTTGCCGAGCATGCGCTCAAAAAAAGTGGGTACACTAGTTACAATACGTCTCTGTATGTCTCTACTCTGTGCCCGGATCTTCATCAGTGCTAACATTGGTCCGGCTTCACACAAAATCGAAAGAATTTTGAGGAATGAAGCAGGTATAAAGGTATACCATTCCAGCGAAAACAAATTGCGGTTTCGAGCTCTTTGCACATATAAGGACAACGTAAATGAATCTCAGAAACCTGTTGTGTACCGCATTCCTTGTGAATGTGGTCTGGTTTACATTGGTGAAACTGGTCGAAATCTCTCAGTACGTCTTAAGGAACACAAGACGAATTGCGAGAAAGCCGAGCAAGATAAATCTGCTGTGGCTAAACATACTTGGACTTACGAAGCAACCATTTTGGCGATTGATAGTCATAAGTTCTCTCGCAAAATGAGAGAATCAATTGAAATCGAGAAGCACAATACTATAGATCAGGAGGGAAAGCCACTAGATAGTACGTGGCGTGCTCTCTTTAATGTGCAAAATTAATTTCTCTTGTCTTGGATGCACGCGCGTTAATTGGAATCACTTCACTACGTTTTGAAATGACGTGGTTGATGTGCCGTTTAATTAAATTTCAAATGACGCGAGCCAACAGATCACGACACTTTTATATAAAAAGAGCGTGTGAATTAAACAAGTCACATATTATTAGCACTGATGAAGATCCGGGCTTACGGATCGAAAGCTTTGCAGTAATAAATTTACGTGGTGTTTCCACAAACAAAAACAATTAATCCCTAAAATGTTCCCGGAAAATCCCTCTCGAAATCTCAAGAATCTCATCAAAATCTCCAAAATCTAGCCATGGCAAAATGTCCCGTTTAAAACTTCAAGGGAATAGTGTCTAGGAAAAAACTCGTTAATGGCTTTTTGGACTGGATAGAAATTTCGAATGAAAATTATGTACAACTTCAGATCTAACCAGAAGCAGTTAAAAAATGCAACAATAGACCCTCTGAAATCGAACCCGCGACCTTGTGATAATTTTCACTATTACTATGAGACTGTTTTTGTTTAGGGTTAGGGCACTAAGTCATTTTATCGACAAAGTCAAAGACAGTTAAACAATGACTCGGACATTTGACTCGAACTCGGATTTGAGTCAGTCAGTAACCGACAAACTCCGAAATTGAATAAAATTCACAGTTGAATAGTGTTAGGGTAAGTTAGGAGTGGGATGATGGTTAGGATTAGGGTACTAAGTCATTGAACTGCAAAGATCATTGATTAAACAATGACTCGGACATTTGACTCGGGCTCGGATTTGACTCGCGGACTCGGATTTCACTCGGTTTATAACCGACAAATTCTATCTATTGCTATTCATGCAAGTTTTTGTGTAATATTTTTGCTAATCGATTATGTGATTTTAATTCCTAAAGGTTAAGCATTGACAACCATGTTCACAACAAAAAGTTTAAAAATCCTTTGAAAATCGAAAGGACAAGCTTAATTGAATTAGCTGAATCATTTTCACTGGAAACTGTATACATCTTCAAAAACGCTTCAAGGTACAAGTGTATCGAATGAGATGCCCAGAATCCTGATAGGAAAACAGCTGCCTATCAAGGTATCTTGAACGAATCTCTTGTGTGTGTTATTGAGCTTGGACTGTCACTAAATCTCTAAATAGGGAGACGTCAATGATGGTCCTGACCGGGGGGTCTGGATTCTAGTTCCCAGCCCACCTATTTTCAAATCCCTTTTCATTCTCGTACCCAGAGCCCTTCTTACGCGCGTTCGACCGAGAGCGACGAGGGGCTCTGGCCAAATCCATAACCGGATACCATAAAAACATGGTAAGAGAACAATATCCGGTATTAGAACTATGGCCAATCAGTTGCCAGTTTGATATGGATTTGGCCAGAGCCCCTCGTCGCGCTCGGTCGAACGCGCGTAAGAAGGGCTCTGGGTACGAGAATACATTCATACATACATACAAAACTTTATTTAAACCACGCTAGCCTGGTTTACATGAGGGGCGTGAAATTACCTATTTACAAGAAGTTAACTATATACAGGAAATACAAAATATAACAAAGTAAAAAAATACGTGATTTTAGCTGCACGATTACACACAAGCAAATTTCAACTAATTCTTTGTTTCAATATCGACTTGAAAGAGCTAAGGGATTCAGCAATTTTTGCCTCATGTGGAAGATTATTCCAATGCAAGGCACCATTATAACTGAAGCACCTCTTGCCGAATTCTTTTTTCGGCATAGGTGGTGCTAAATCAGTATCCCTATTTCTAAGATTGTAAGTATTATGTCTTTCATCATTAAAATGAAATGCTTCTTTAAGATTGAGTGCGGACATTCAAACTTATCTTTGAGCCCAATTCCACAATTATCCCACAACGGGCTGCAATAATCGAAATAAGGCTGTATAATAGCATTTTGGTTGTCGACAGTGGTACAAAAGGTTTAACACGTCTCATTGCACCAATACCGGCACCAACTTTAGAACAGATTGAATCAATATGTTTATCCCATGATCCATGAATGATCCATTTTCCCAACCAGTTTTCTTAAAACCAAATCTTGGTTTCAACTATAAATTTGAAACAATATCCCTACATGAGCAGGCGTGTCACCTATGTGTTGACTTGTGCAAATCATTTAGAAATAACTTCACGAAGTAAAAGGTTTAAATTAGTCTATAAATACCTGTCATTTTCTGTCCCATAAACTGGACCATCACTCACTCGAACCGGAAAAAGGGTAGAATGCAGTCCTCCAGGATATTATTAGACAAACTCTCCGTCAAAACGGTTGCGCCGTAGTTATTTAAACTAGCATCCAACTAGAACGAACTGTCTTTATACTAGTATGTATATGGGTTTTAAATTTTTGTGTGTGTCGCTTCCCAGTAACCAAAATCCAGGCCAAAAACTAGGCAATTCTCAGTTCCCATTTTACTCCTTCAAGACCCTCAACAATCTATAACCCAACGTACAGCAAGCTTTGGTCCCAAAATGTCTGTTATACGAGGTTCGTTATGTATCAGACGGAGGTCCGTTATATAAGACGGCGGTGGCTATTTGAATACAATGACATTGATGATAGTCTAGAAAAGAAATGAACAATTAAAAGTCTCTTCACTCTCTTAGGAATTTTAACACTCGTTCTGTTTACAACAGCAAACCAAAAATTTTTACGTCTTGTACACAACGCGTCGATTTCATGCCCGAGAAGTAGTACTCGGCAAATTGGCTTAACAGAAGTCTTCTCGACTATGAACCTCCGTCTTAACCTCCTAAACCTGTATTGGATTTGTGCAACGGATAATTTGAGGACAAATTATTTGAAGGAGTTTGTTTTGGCCGTCCTACATGCTAAAGTCCCTATTAGTCACGCGTCTTGATTCTTTCGAATGTTAATATGTTATATAACAATTATCTCTGCATTCATCATACATAATAGCGAACACGTGCTGATGCTGAATAAACACAAAGCGCGCATCAAGCGTGTCCTTGCATGACAAACGATATTATTATCATGCCTTATTAACACTCTATCATTCTCGCATGCGTAACGACAAGAGCACCATGGGGGCTTATTATCGCAAATATTTTATTTGAATACTGCTTAATATAACGGCAAAGGTTGCGCGTGGCAGGTATTGTATAGTAATAAGCATCAGTTGGGAGCACTTTTTTATACTTAGCCCATCGAAATTATCTCGGATTTGAAGGTATTCAAATTAGAGTCTTTGAACGATTGGATTTGCAGCTAAGGGTCATACAAAAAGAATTTTGTTTTAATTTGAATACAGATGGCTGGTTACGTAGGTTAACCTAAGTATACAGAACGATTTTTGTGGGCTTATAAAGACTAAAGTATACACAAAACAGTGGTCGAAGGCGGTACTTATATTATTATCATGCTATCATATTATTGGGCAGGTGAATCTTAAGAATTTTAACCGAACATAAAGGATTCCACAAACGAGGAAATTTGTATAAAACAAGGAACTTGAGACACACGTGTCTTGCTGACAGTTGGCGCCAATCTTTTCATCTTGTGTCATAAAGTTTCATTTTATTTCAATATCTAATCGTGGTGCAAGTTTATCGACGCTTTGATCTGGTTGTAGTGAGTAACAGCAATAAAGTTCAGATGTGTGGTTGATTTGAGTCAGTATTGTACAGCCGCTTTGTCAAGAAGATCGAATTCAGATATATGTTTACCACAAAGAAGAGAATTCAATTTTAGTATATCAAGGAGCTAATTGTTGAGTGATTCTAATTATAGATACATTGTAAAGAGGAGTTCAATATCAAGTCTCGAAACGCTTGCCAAGTGATTCTTAGAGCATATCCTGCGAATTAAGGAGGGAATTCAATTTAATCTATCGAAAAACTTTTTAAGAGTGAAGGCAGTGTGTCTTGAGGTTTCGCAGGATTTCATTCCAAGATGTCATTTGAGGTTATTCAATGCGAAGACGAGAAGGAATCATGCCCTAAATTGCCCAAAAGGAGCAGGAAACTACATCGTTGTTTAGAAATGTGTATAAACTTGAAGGACAGAAAGATTTTGGTAGCAGCCCATGGAGTGTTCGTGTTCTCTCTTGGTGTTGTTTTAATTGTTGGACATTATGCAATCAACGCGACCACCACGTCAACAGTACATACAGAGTCATCCATACCAAATGCAGTTAATTCAGTTCTGGTAAGTCAATATGTACTTAGTTATCATGTTAAAAGCTCTCTTGAGATTTGGCAGTCTCGAATTTTTACACAGGGAACATAAGTTAACAAAATAAAAGTTTGATGAGTGTTTTAACTACAGAATGAATGATAGTCATGTTGGGAAAGCATTAACTTAGGTAACCAAGGTCGTGTGACCTTCATGTACTATCATCTTTGTTTGATTCGAGCTTATTTCTTTATATTTTCTGTAGTAGTCTTGTATTTGAAGGCACTAAATGGAATTTAAGACCCCCTCTGCCCTGAAATGTTCCATAAAACCCAGTATTCATGCAATCTTTCTCAACGGCCAGTTTATAATAGTTTATACCTGTAAACCACAAATAAATCATACTTGTATTCTTTTGTATTTCGGCTGATGAGAAAGATCGTGACTCGATCTTTACGACCGTTACGACCATACGGAAACCAGGCTTAAGTCTGATTTCAAAATATTTAGTGAGAAATCATTAAGGCCAAGGGCTAGATGGCGGATTATACATACATACATACAAAACTTTATTTAGACCACGCTAGCCTCAACAGCCGTTGGAAGGCTGGTTTCCATGAGGGGCGTGAAATTACCTATTTACAAAAAGTTAACTATATACAGGAAATACAAAATATAACAAAATAAATAAATACAATTGATTTTAGCTGCGCGATTATACACAAGCAAATTTCAACTCATTCTTTGTTTCAATATCGACTTGAAAGAGCTTAGAGATCCAGCAGTTTTTGCCTCATGGGGAAGATTATTCCAATGCAAGGCACCATTATAACTGAAGCACCTCTTGCCGAATTCTTTTTTCGGCATAGGTGGTGTTAAATCAGTATCCGTATTTCTAAGATTGTAAGTATTATGTCTTTCATTATTAAAATGAAATACTTCTTTAAGATTGGGTGCGGTGTGGCCATTCAGAACTTTATAGATGAAAATAGATTTAAGATAATTTCGTCTTTCTTCTAGAGGTTTCCAATTTAGATTATTGAGTAACTCAGATGACCGAATATCGTAAGTTGCCCCAGTAATTACTCTTGCAGCACGATTTTGGTATTTTTGCAACTTATCTATGATCGTATAGTATATAGTGACCAGTGTTGAAATTAGTCAAGCATGCATTCACTGTATTTTACAGAAATTTATAGACATCCCCCGTACGTACGATCATGATAGACTTACCATGGCTACTAACTTAGTATTCTTATTCAGCTTTGAAATACCAGTGTTCAGGTAATTCAGCCGTTTTCACATCTGTGTGATAGATATACGTTTTGTTTGCCTGTTTGTGTTTCTAACGGAAACTTGAAATCACGCGCCAAATCTAAGTCACGAGAAGATCGACTAATTGGGTTTGACAGCACAAGAAATTGCGACTTAATAGTATCAATTAAGGCGAAATTCTTTAAATAGGGACGTCGGTTTTAATAGAAATCAAATGTTTACAACTATTTCAATAGTTGTCTTATGGCGATTTTTTATTAATATTGAAAAACCTTCGAGAGTTTGTTTACGAAATTATTGCAAACAGTTATTATTAAAATATTGTGGTTATATTATGCAGCCACATGTGGTCGCTCTCGGATACGTCTTTTATCGTTTGTATGCTCGAGCTTGTTTTTTTATCGTTATGCTTGAGATTAGAGAGTTTGAGCAAGACAACGAAGTACGAAGACGAAGGCATACTTGACAATTTTTGCCGTCTGTACATTATCTTGCGCATACTGAGCTGGACGTCACTGGTGGTTGCACAACGTGTCTTCCCATGTGTCGCTGTTTATGAATACTGACCATAATTCTTGTCCTGATTCAGAAAAAAACAGCGAGACATGAAACTATATCCCGTCTTTGTCCTTGTGCCTTCGTGCAGAACGAAGTTCACAACGAATTTTGCCAAAATATTCGTTGTGAACGAAGGCAGAAGACGAAGACGGGATATGGATTCATGTCTCGCTGTTTTATCCTGATCAGGGTAAGGATTTGGGTCAGCATTCACAAACAGCTAGACATGAATCTCTAATCTGTCTTCACTCCTGACCCTAAACTCAGAATGCGCAAAGTAATGTGCAAGGCAGGCAAAAATTGTCAACCACGTCGTCGTCGTTCGACTTCGTTGTCTTGCTCAAACTCTCTATTGGCGAACCGCTTAAGCAATAAGGCTTATTAATCCAGCACGGAGATGCATGTGACAGGAAACAGCTTTAAATTTTATAGCACTTCAAAAACTATAACGGCACCGATATTAGAATTGACGACGGCAATTAGTATGACAATCGCTAATATTGTAAAAAATAAATTATTAATTAAAATCTCATAAAACAGTATTAGATAGTCCTCGTTCTGTTTACGAAGGGCTTTCGCTCGAAACGTCGAGTTTCTGCTAGTAAGGTAGTAATATAACCACCCAGAAATGACAGGCTATTACGTCTAATATACAACGGCTACACTTCAAAATGGGATAACGGTTATTTCAAATTGGATCCTACCATAAACCCTTGTTTTAACCTCGATCCTTAAACCGTGATTAATTTCATATAATGGATAATAGACGGCAGGTTTTCCTTGCAACCATTTAATTCAACAAGTTTGCGGTTTTACCGCCGTGGTAGCGTTGCAGTCCTATATGCTTATTATGCGATAACACTGAACAAGCGCGCAGCATATGGAGAAAAGATGTTACTGTGCGAGAATATATATTGTAGATGTTTTAGTAGGTGACTGATCGTTTTCATAGGCTTCTATAACGACTATAAGTGGTGTGACGTTTTCCGTTACCACCATGATTTAAACGCATTGACATTGTTAGGTTCTTCTAACACGTACAGTACATTATACCATTGCATTTGAGCAACTTAATTTGTACCCAATTCCAAACGCACCATTATTTTTTTCTTTTGAAATTAATAAAAAGCCACTTAACTCTTCTACTCTAAGCCAATTTGCCGTCTACAACTTCGTAAAGTCTTTGCTTGTAAACATGTATCGAAGACGACTTCCGAAACAGGCCCAATGCATACTAAAAATAATAATATCATGGCCATTAATTGGCATTGCTTGTTGATAACTTCCTAGAGTTAAGGCAACCTCGTTCCCAGGCTCTTAAGGATAACGTTACATCTGACTTTAAACTCAAGATTTGGGTTGAATATTACACAAGTCATCACTTGAATTATATATTCACTACATGTTTTGGGCAAGAAGCTAGTACTGGGAAAAATTTGCATGATTATTCAATAAACTCTTGAATTTAAGCCTTAATCTTCCGGTACACATGTGTTCGCAATAACAGTTAAGATTGATAGGTATGTCATTTTCTTGAAACAACACGTGTTGTCTGCACCGCCACAAATCTTCAAACAAACTTATTATCATTTGTCCTAATCTCACTGGAATTTTCATGTTTTCCTACGACTTAATTTGCCTGTGTTTTTGTAATAAATTATTTAATTGAGCATGTTTTACATTGGCGCCCTGGTAATTCTCAACAAACAAGAACTTCGTCCACGGACCTCGAGGTTCCGCGTCGCGCTAATAAAATAGCGAACTTAAGATCTACGACGCGGCACGCTCAACGACGAGCTTGCGAAAGAAAGAAATTTGTCATGCAAGACAAAAACTGTGAATAATTTGTGGTCCCAGGGGTATTCTCAACGGCTTTAGAGACCTTGCGATTTTAGGACGGCAACGGATACCAATACAATAGATCATTGAAAAGAATTGAAAAATTACAATATATGAATAATTTAGACTTGTCCTCGCTCTGTTTACAACGCCAAATCACAGATTTTCACGTCTTGATGCAACGGCTGCATTTCAAGCCGGAACAAGTGCAACTTCAAACTGGATTCAGGAGAACTCTTCCCAACCACAAAACCCATGTCTTCAACTTCTAAAACTGTATTAAATACGATTGATAATGTACTGACGAATTATCTTTACTACCATTTATTAGAAGGAGTTTGTTTTGGCCATCGTTGTCGCGTTGTCGTCCTAAAATCGTAAGGTCTCTTTTGTTATGCTCAACACAACGTTAAACTAAGCATTATCACGTCTTTGAAGCAACAGGAAAGCTTATTCTTGACTTAATCAATCCCTTGAGAATTAGAAGACAATGCCAACAATGGCATGGTGGCCATGTTGGTGCCAAATTCAAAAGAAGTTAATGAGATTCTTTTGTTGAAAGGGGGCCAACATGGCCGTCTTCCACATCATTGCAAGTCAAGAACTGTGACCCAAGAGGTGTTACTTAAATTCGAAATTACAACAAACATTGCTTTAGTCGAACTTAGCAGTTTCTAATGTTATTTGAAAAATCTTCAAACATTTATTACAGTAATGAAATTGCTTAGCGCTCATTCTTGAGCTGAAATTCAGACCGCGTCGTTGATCTTACGCTCTCTAATGACAATATGACGTAACTTCTTTGAAAGACTTCAAAACAACTTCGCAACAGTTTGTTTATACACTTGGATATATTTTTTCCAGAAATTAGTTGACTACGCCGTTAGAGTTTGTTTACAAGTTAACATAGCACACAACTTTTGTCTAAAACAGCCGCATACAACATGCTTATAATTAACTTGAGTTGTATACTGTGTAAATCAAGCACACAACTCGAGTACCTGTAGAAACTAACTTCACTGAAACTCAGTGCCACAGAGAGGTTGGCGGGGGCCCGGGGCAAATTTTTTTTAGGGGCCCCCTTTTTTGAAAAAAAATTTTCCGGAAAAAATTTTTTCCGGACAACAACCTCCCCCCCCCGTCGCAAAAAAAATTTTGGTCAGTGTACCATTTTAGGGGTCAAAAATTTTTCCGGATGATTAAGTTGCACACACTTTCCAGGGACTTTAACTCATTTTTCTATTCCTAATTTTGGTACTTAGCCCAATAAAACAGATATGTTGTCCTTTGCGCGGAAATATTTAACACAGAAAAAAGACTGGGGCCCAACAAAAATTTTTCAGGAGCCCCCAGCACTTCGGGGCCCGGGGCAATTTGCCCCCCTTGCCCCCCCCTCTCGGCGGCTCTGCTGAAACTGGCTGAATGTCAACACCATGTCAGGCTAGCAATCAGGACGTCAATACGCATCGTATGGGTCTCAATTGATTTCCTAGAAAAACATGCTCGAGATGGTTTCAATTATTTGTTATTGAAAATATTCACAATGTGCTGGCTATCTGAATGCCACTATGTGAGATATGGCAGCAGTCACAACAAACAACTCGGTTTATCTGATTTGAACACGTGCCGCGGTTTCTGTTAGGAACACCCAGTATCAAATCAGATTTGACGATATCATGGTAGTATTCTAAAGTAAGCTGCCTGGTGTCTGACTACCAGAAAAGATCAATTTAATCCATATTTATGCATATATATCATCAGTAATAATTTTTTTCAATCAAACATAGGGACCATTGTAGCTGGTATTATTCTTCGAGTGCGATGCCAACAAAATCTTGATATTATTCCCCAATAAGCTACCTTGGTGGTCTCTAAACAACCTGAAAAGTCATCTCAAACCTGAGCTCGAGGACGCAGCTAGTGTAGTCTACACTGTATAGTTGTGTTTCACTAAACTGCCGTACAGTCATAGGCGTACCGGGCGGGGGGGGCGGTAGCCCCCCCAGTTTTTTGGGCAGTCGGGCAATATTCGATCAACAGTCGGGCAATTTTGGTTTGCAATAAAAAAAAAATGGTACAAATTCTGTCAATTTTGTCTAAGATTAAGTCAATTTTTTTGCAAATTTTGTGATTTTTCGAAAATTTTTGTTATGTTCCGGAAAATATTGGTTGTCCGGAAAATTTTTTTGCCCCCAAAAATGGTACACTGACCGAAATTGTTTTGGCGACGTGGGCGGGGGGGGGAGGTCGCCAAAATAATTATTCCGGGAAAAATTTTTTAGTACTAGTCGGGCAGAATCCTGAAAAGTCGGGCAATTTTCTTTCCGCCCCCCTAATTTTTTCCTTCCGGTACGCCCATGGAAGTACGGCCCGTACTTGGTGTCTAAACTACCTGAAAATGATACTTCGAACGTGGAGCGAACCTGTTGTATGCAGTATATATCTACACTAGGCTGCCATGGTTGGAAACCCAGCGTAGGTTGTACGTATTCTTTAGTAAGCTTCCGTGATGGTGCCGTTAGCTTTTGTCAAATACTTCAGACACTCATGCTGCTACGCCATAACCGCAACAGCACGCTTCGGCCGAGTTGTATCTATATATACTACATTTAAAACATCTATTCAAACGTATCTTTTTATAGGTTATTCTTAGCGGGCTTCTTTTCACTTTACTTCTTGTCAAGGAACAACGGTATTTGGTAAGTTTATTCAGTTTTTTTATTAGACACTTCATGGTTCAGTGGCAACTCAATTTTTTTTTCAATTGAACTATATAATCTATAGCGCTTTTTCATAAAAATATATGAAGAAGCGCTAGATTATATATAGTTTAGTTGCTTCAATTCAATTTATTTACCACTTCTTTCAGTTATTTACATTGATTATTGCAATAAAATTTAGGTATATTTATATTTATGTATGTCAAATTGAAAGGAAAGGGAGTGGCGAGAAGACCTCAGGAAGTCAAAGACTTGTATTAAGAGGCCATCTCCTTGTTATGCGGAACAAAGTTTTTTTCAATTTTTGTTTTGTTTTGTTGTTTATAAATGACATGTTCATAGCTTAAATTAAACTCAGCAGTGGTCACACTCAAACGCTATTACATAGGTCAGAGGTGTAGCCACAAGGAAGAATTGGGGGTGGGTCCGGACCCACACACCTCCACCATTTTTCTTCAGGACAAATTTTGTTATTCTTTCAAAACTGAGGAAAAACTGGGGGCATAACCCCTTAATGTTTTCATCTATGATATAAAATATACCAAACCTGTGACTATCTGATTATCATAAATTAATGTGTCTAAAATGCATGAAATGGCGTTTGGCAATGGCACTTGGCAGACCCAAAATAGAAACATATTCCGGGCGACCATATGAATAAAAATCGATTGCTTGGAAAATAGTGGGTTCTCGAGATCCTGGAACCCAAGGAACATTTGTCTCAGCAAGAAGATTGAGGATCATTTTCAATTTTTCACAAATATCTTCTCATTTGTCGTTTGAGAGATGTACCATAAATAAAGAACGAGGTTGCAGTATAGTCAAGTGTAATTTGTCAGGGCCGTAGCCACCAATTTATAAGTGGTAAAGTTAGATTCGAGTCCCGAAATTGATTACACTAATGGTGATAATACTCGCCCAAAAAATATCTTAATCATAACCATTTTGGCCTCCAAGATAAAACGTTACCTATAATACTGGCGCAAAGTCTAACACTTTGGTTGAAACCAGACCAACCGGACCGGTGGCTACGGCCCTGTTTGTTGTTGCATACATAATATTTACCGATGGTGAATTGGCTTACCAAGTTACCATCTAGCATAATGCATGTATGGTAAAATCTTCGATATGAATGTTTTACGCAATTTAATTAGTGAGGGAAATTTGAAAGAGACAAATTCAGGATCAGAGGGACATTAAACACTTTTTTCAGGTCTGTCCGGACTTCGGTCTTTTCCAAGTCCACGCTATATTTATTGTTGCAGTAATGCAATAATAAATACATAAATAATAAATGCTCGTTGCCATGGTATTTTCCACAATCCGAAACAAATATTATATCGCCACAAACAACTTATGACGTATTTAATCTTCCTCTAGATAATTAGTACCATTATCTTGTCAACTGTATCCGGCATACTCTCTGCTATTGCCGCAGTGCATTATGGTATTACTGTATCCAATCGTCTTGCGTCACTCTCCGACTGTACGTACATTAGTCATCAACGGCTTTGCACATGCTTGGTGGTAACATCATCGTCAAGAGTGACATATAATTTTGAGAATACGGTTAGTTGTACTATTATCACAAAACATTTGTGCGAAGTGGCTTATGGGATGTGTGGTGTCTACGCTGTCACCTTTGTGTCTTGCTTTGGTGCCTCTGTTTATGCAATATTGCTGGCTCATAAAGTTGAGATAAAGAAGGTGAGGGATTGTTTTTTGATAATATATTAATTAAGACAAATAGCATTTCATTCTTGCTATACACAGTGTCATGTTTTCTCAGTTTGAGAAATCAAATCTTAAAAATACCGAAGTTTTTGCTGACGAGCCTAGTTTTTGCACATTTCAAAAAGGCTAAAACTTTCACTGTTCGCTTTAATAAGCAGTTTGTGATGAAAAATTGCGCGCTTATTCGCATGCACGTAATACATACAATACAAATAACACAAGGTAGTGGCAACTAGTTTTCCGATAAAGAACTTGGTAGAATTCCGCGCATTATAGTTGGTTATTTTTGTTTAATTAAAGTAATTATTATCAAACACCGGAAAATGTTGAAAATAATTTGAAACGATAGATCAATGGACTACAGAGATAATAATTAATTTTGTAGATATTTAAGATTTTCAAATCTAAAATAATGGGTCGATCAGATGTTGCGTTCGGAGTGAATCTTCGAAATCACAATCAGACAATGGGACATATTGCAGATATTGAACAGGGCTCATTGACAGACGTGCGACTGAACACGCACTAAGCATTGTGCCGTGCATTACTGTAAAAAAAGCACATGTGGATTTTTGGGGGTTTAAAATTTCTGCCAAAATACCCAGGGATTTGGGGAGTTTTTGTGAGATTTTCAGGAGAGTTTAAAGGATATATATTTTTGGCAAGATTTTAAATTTTGCAAAGGCCCGTTTACACTTGTAAATTTTGCTGCGATTTCCACTGCGATGACGCATGTGAACGAGTAGATAATAATAATAATAATATAATATAATGAATTTGTCACTTTATACACGATACAAACTAATTAATTAAAGACAAATAAAGACAGATACAAATCGTGACAGGGGAAAGGAACAGGACTCTCGTCCCAATTGACACCTAACCCCTAAAAAGACGTTAAATATAAATAAAGATAAAGAACAGGGGCCGGTTGTATAAAACTCTTAATTACTTTTTAATCACTATTTTGTAGTTAAATAGTGATTAACTCTCAAATACGCGCTTCTTATTGGATGACGTTTCCACTAACTATAGTTAACTTTAATCACTTTTTTATACAACCGGCCCCAGGTTATAACACATTAGTTATAACAACTTATACTAGCTAAGGTTTGAATCGTGACTATAAAAGTACTGAACGTTTACACACTGCGACTTACCCACTATGGAGATTACTATTATGAATTATTCAAAATTAATTTGGAAATCACGAGTCAATTTATAACATATTTGTAAATATGATGAAAATGGCCGGATGATGGTTCAACAAATCGCAATGTGTAGACGCTGATCACGCAGTGCCCGGAGGTACGTAATGCGATAACTTAGTAGAATACAACTTATGAAGATGAGACTTGAAAATACTTAAAGAATTGGAGGATTTGACAAGAGACGGTCGAGTGTTCCATAGTTCAACCGTTCTAATGAAAAAAGAATTTCTAAAATAGTCCTGCTTGTGTTTAATTATAAGATTATAGTTGTTTTTATCATAATTTCTTGATTGGTATCCAGGTTCAAAAGTACATATATATTTGTTCACATCAGTAGTAATTGCTCCAGTTCTAGATTTTAAAAGTAGGCATAAGTCTGAGATATCTCTTCTGAACTCAAGAGGGAGAATCTTGATCTTCGCGAGTCTGTCGGCATACGTTAGGTCCTGTGGATAGTGAAGAATAAACTTTGTTGCCCTCCGCTGGACATTTTCGACTTATGTAGATGAGATAGGAATGTTCTGAGTATAATATATGTACCCTGGTCTGAACATTCATAACTGATCAACTCATTCACATCGATCAGAAGAAGAAAATCGCCTCAGAAATTGCAGCAAATTAAAGAGTAAATGAGATTTTGAGATTCTTAGGTATGTTGTGGAAATGTTTGTGACTTTATAGGAAGTTTTGGGATTCGAGATTTTATGGATTTCAAACCTTCATGGCAGGATTTCCCGAAATATTTTTTTTTTGTTTTTGGGAAAATGTACGAGGATTTTTGGAGTCCTTCACCCCTCGAATCGAGTTTGTTCTAGTATTACACATATTGTCATGTCTAAGCAGAATTCATACATTTTTGTTGAAGATACAGAGTCTGCAGCAACAAGAAAACGTTACCTCCAAGAACTACCTCAAAGAAAAACAACCATTTGAAGAATATTCCGCTGACATTTCACCCAAAGATCACAAGAAATCTCCGTCACTATGGCAACATGACGTTGCGACACAGACTGCCTCAAGTAGCATCGCAAAAGATGTGAGCTGTCGTCATCAATGTCGTCATTTTGTCGAAGTGACGGTACCGGACACCAGTGACGATTTTGTCGTGAACATCACCAAGAGTCGTGACCCACCTCCTCCATACTGTGAAACGGTTTATACTTAATGTGAAGTCAGGGAAAATATCAGAGTCCTTATTAGAGAGGTCTGGCTATCCTGTACACGGATAATTTTTAAGCCAGTTTCCATTTGGTTGCGACAGTACCATTGCAAGGTGGCGTGTGTAAATAGTGTCAATATATCTCTGAAATCAGTAAAGACTAATTTACGTACAGCACACAAAAGATAAGATAAATCCAGATTATTTCATGCAATAGAGTGTGGTATATCTCTGTAATCAGTAAAGACCAGGCGTGTGTTGGGATGGAGGGTTGTGACATGGTCTAAATAATTTGAAATATTAAAATGTTGGTCAAATTAAACATATTGATAAAATTTTTGCTGTAGGTCAAGTTAAACCTATTAATAGAAAACATGTTGAAACGCTGAAAATGTGTTCTTCACCCTCAGCATAACTCCAACGTACCTAAAATAGATAAGCTTGGTTGGAAGGAACACGTAGTCTATATTTTTGTATATAAGCTTCAAAAGGAATATCAATACTATACGATTAATATGGAGATCGTTTGTTTCTAAAGATACTTTAAAAATTATCTACAATAAGCTATTCCTACCTCATTTTGATAATTGCGCTCTTGTTTGGAGGAACTGTTCTGAAACTTGAAAATTAAATATACAGAAACTCCAAAACAGAGCAGCAAGAATCATCACAGGAGATTACTATATGACATCAGGTTAAAACAAGTATTAGAAAAGTGTGGTTGAAAAACGTCAGAAGAAAGACGTGACAGTCAAATAAGAAAATATATGAGTAATGTAATGAAAGATAATTTTCCCGAAATAATATGTAATTTTTTGAAAAGTGTGATAATGAAAATTATAATTTAAGAAGCAGGGGAAAATTACTTAAATTAGCCTAGTAGTAATTTTTTAATTTGTTACATGGGAGCAAACATCTGTATGGAGTCAGCAATTAAATGATGTAATTTTTAATCTTGTATATAAACCAAGTCATACTTTGTATACTTCATTTGTAAATATTTTCACGGCCCTTTGAAAAACAATGTAATATATTGTTGATAGGTTACGTGATTAAATAAACTTAAAGGCACAGTTCAGCCTTTTGAACGACGGTTTTTAAGGGCGCATTTCAGCCCTTTTAATTGAAAAAACTAGGAAAATCAATTAAGTATAATTCAAAATCAGTAAACTCGATGTTTTTACCAATAAAAATGTTTTAAAATGTTAAAAACATTGAGTTTGGTGATCTTGAATTATACTTAATTGATTTTCCTAGTTAGTTTTTTCAATTAAAAGAGCTGAAAGGCGCCTTAAAAACCATCGTTCAACAGGCTGAACTGTGCCTTTAAATACAAATAGCCATATTAAAATAGCGATACATGAATCTTTATCCAAATATCGTTAACAGCTTTTGGAAAACACATACCCAACAACTATTGCGTAACGCATACAGTTAATTTTGTAATGAAGTATTGCAATCTCTTCAGAGAACACAAGCAGTTGGTCATTTTCATTGCAAAATTTGTCCCTCCAAAAAATCCTGATTCTTTCTCCACGCCCCCTGCAGGAAGGTTTGATTCCACGACGGCGAAGTTCTTCACGAGAAATTGTCTGCGAAATACCTAGCCCGTGGAATCAGGCCTTAACGCACACTGACCGCAATGTATATCCAGTGTAATGAATATAACTGGAACGCCACCTTCAGATAAACTGCTTATTTTTTTCTTGAAGCCAAATCTGACATCCCCCCTCCCCCCGTCAGACAGGCGTGTCTGGGGGACAAGACCCGCGTGGTCCACAGAGTACATTTGATACAGAGGGCAGATTCAGCCAAAAAGAGTGTTAAAAAGTGCCCAGTGTTAAAAAGTGCCCAGTGTTAAAAAGTGCCCACATTAAGAAATGAACCAAATGACTAAAAAGACCACCTCAAAATTAGTAAGTATACAAAGTTTGAAGACGTTGGCATGAATACCCCTTTGAATAATAAGCTTTCGAAAATTATGAAATTACTGATTAAAATATTGTTTTTGGGACGCGCGTCCCAAAAACAAAAATTACAATACAATTCATAGTAAATATCACCATTTTCGAAAGCTTATTATTCGAAGGATATTCTTGTAAACGTCTTCAAACTTTGTATACTTACTAATTTTGAGGTGGTCTTTTTAGTGGTTTGGTTCATTTCTTAATTTGGGCACTTTTTAACGCTCGTCCCCAGTCCACTCATCAACTTAGGAACGGCTAATTTGTTTGAAATATTTTATACCGTAAACCTCCGAATATAAGCCCTCCCCACCATAGTGTATAAGCTCACCATACAGATATTTCACAGCACACTTCCTATCAGGGCTTTTCAGTGACTGGTTACATTATGAATAGCTAGATAGATAGAACCGGACTGACGTGAAGCAGACCGAGGTAGACTTTGAGCTTACAAATGGTGCTTGAGCAGCGCTTTTAGTCCATACCTCATTGATCTGCCTCCAGACCTATGTGCCTAACCCACCCTGTCAACTTTCCCTGTGGGAGGAAACACGGAGTACCCGGAGAAAACCCACGACTTTCGGCAGAGCGTTGACTTTTTTACTCTTTTCACATGAGGACTGGGTTCGAGTCACATTGAGAAGTTCTCATTGAGATTCGAAACTGCGGCCTTAGAGGTGAAAGGCAAGTGCGCTAACCACTTCGCCACCGAAGCCCCATATTCATTAATGCTCTGGCTATTCCGAATATAATCCTCTCCCCTCCGTGCATAAGCCCATGGTCTTATTATTGGACAGGTATTTATTAAACGAAGCGACTCGGTGATTCCAACAGTTCAGCCGCGAGTGACAATAATTACATTAATTTAAAGTATTATGCATAGATTATATACTGTATGTTTATATTTCCTTTCGTTCACGGCATAGTTAGCATGCAGGTACAATAAATATTATCATTAACATCAAATGTCGTCCGTATATAAACCCTTCGTTGTATGAGCCCAAAAATCTTAGCTGATTAGCAGACTTATGTGTTCGAATTTGGACACAGAATCTTTGCTAAGGGAGGAGAGTTAAAGCTTGGTTTCGATATAGTCGTAACGGTCGTAAAGATTGAGTCACGATCGTTCTCATCAGCCCAAATACAACATCTTAGAACTGAAAATACGCAGAGTGATTACAACTAGAGAATACTTATGATTTATATGTGGTTTACTTAATAGATAATTACTGAGGCCAACGGCATTATTCGATATATTGCAGCCAGCTGAGGCCGAAGGCCGAAGCTGGCTGCAATATATCGAATAATGCCGTTTGGCCGATTATAATTACTGACCCGAATCAAAAGTAATTATTTTCGGCTGGAAGACTACGTTGCTGCTTGTTGGGACCGTATGACAATGAATCTATCCAACGTTACACTAGACATTTGTCGGAGGACATGCATGTAATGCATCGTGATAGAACAGATTTCAGTTTAATTAATCGCCCTAAATTAAAATCTCCACAAGCGGAGGTCAATTATAGTGTTCTAGTTTACATATTATCATTAGTGAGAAGGTTAATTCAAAGAGCGTATTAAACTGGATAAACACGGGAATAGAACTTATGGTGTGTTCTGCACATGCGTATATCTAGGATAAAATCCCACAAGCGCAAACGAAACTGTTTCTCTATAAAGTTGAGCTGAAAAGACTCACAGCGACCGTTTTGGCAGTGCTTCAGGCGCCCGATGATATTGTATGAGGGGCCTTTAGCACTGTCAACTTCTCATCTTGAGATGTTCACGTTATCGCGTGTACTTGTCAGGATGACGAAGGATTGCGAATAATGTCTGTGTGTACTGATACACGCTGCATTATTTTTAATAATGCTGTGTGCACGCTGCATTATTTTTAATAATGCTGTGTGCTATTTTAGCCCGTATAAACATTTACCCCTAGGAATTTCCCTACAATCAAAAAAGACCGCTCCCGTTTTTCAGAAGAACGCTAAAACTTCTCGATATTCGCTGATATAATGCAGAGAGAAAACAATAGGTTATTATGACCGTCAGTAATTATAGGTATATACTATTATAAACTGGCCGTTGAGAAAGATCATGACTCTATTTTTACGACCATTACAACTATATGGAAACCAGGCTTAAGATTTACAGTCGTGCCAAATCAAATCAAATAAGAATTTATTCAAAGTACCTATTACAAAAGTATCTAGGTCTTTGCAGGGGAAATCCTGAGGTTAGCCCTATGTATGGATTCCCTTACCTTACGATAATCTAATTATAAAACACAATAGATACACCACTCGACATTAGATAATTCAATGCAATTTCATGTGTAGTTTTAAATTGTTCTTGAAGTTCTTAATATTATCAGCTTCAACTTCTGATCTAGGTAAATTATTCCATAAACTAATAATCCTTACAAAAAACGAATGCTTAAAACAATTAATTCTTGGTCGTTTAGGTGGTTCTTGTAGCGCGATACTGTTTATATTCAAATACTTCTGCGAATGATATACCATTAAGCTAGACCGAAAACGGTTTTATAACACTCGACCAGAGATAGGAATTCTCTTCGTTTCTGTAGAGTGTTCCATTTTAATAATTCACATCGGTCTTCGTATGGCATATCACCTCGTCTTTGTTTTTCACCTAGTCTGGATGCTCGTCTCTGAACTGCCTCTAATGCTTGTATATCTTTCGCTAAGTGTGGCGACCACACCGGCGTGTGGCGACCAATAGAAGCGTTTCGGAATTCTAGTTTTATTGACCAATCAGATTGCTCAAAAATAGAATATAAAATTTGATTGGTCAACGAAACAGGAAGTTAGAAACTTTTTAAAGAAATTTTCAAAATTTTAAGGAATTGTTCAGAGGTGCATGTTCCTTCAAGTTAGGAAATGAACTGGTCAACATTATTCGGAACGCTTCTATTGGCACAACTGTGAGAATGATGAAAAGAACATACACAAACGATATGTTCCACAATTTTATTTATTTTTATTAAGATAGTTCAATTTTATTACAAAATTCAAATACTATGACACAAGGCGCATTAGTGCTTTACACTGCACAAGTTTTACACCATTTTGCAACGCGATACTTCCAATAAACCGAATATATTCAGAGAAATTCGTTCAGATACTTGCAGGATGCGGCAAAACTTGCCCAGTATACTAGCGTGGCCTTTATTTTATTTACATGTCCTAATTCACGACTATGAAGCATTAATATCCAGACAAAACTCGTCTAAGTTGGGAAATCAATGTCAAACGAGAATGCGAGTTGGCAGTCACGCAATTGTTACGGGGGGCATTTAAAGCTCTAGATGAACAAAATCAAGCATAAGCATTTTAGATATGACAACTATACAAGTGTTTTGAATAGCTTCAAACACGACTACAATAGATGCTGTCTCATTAGTATTCGTCTCATTAATAATTCATGAGGAAAACACAAAGAAAATTATAAGCGTCGTATCTTTATATGTGATAGACATTTCCCTTGATTTACATAAACTTTAACTCTGATTTTCTCGACTTACACAACGTATTTTTTAAAAATTACTTCGCCCACGAACTTACTAGATCGATCGTTTTTGAAGCAATTTAAAGCATTCGCAGTGCGTGTTTTATGAGACCTAAAGATACTCGGCTTCGCCTCGTATCTTTATATCTGATAAAACACTGCTGCTCATGTTTTAAATAGTACATAAAGAACACTAATTAGGATGGACTTTTATGTAAAGAATACTAATGAAGATGAGTTTTATCAGGTATAAGGCCACTCCAAATTAGACTTTAGTTTCCCGTCCGGCCCTTATTTCAAATTACACGCGGGCGGGCGGTCCATTTCCATTATCATTAAGATGAAACACGGCCCATTATTTCATGAAATAGATACTCGTTTTAAATATCCATTCAGTCACGTTTCTACGCAATGTTTTAAAGTTTTTGTATGCAGAAATGAAAGCCAGGATATTAACCTTATCGGTTTTGACGTTCAAAAATCAAAACTTGTAACGGAAGTGTGTAGCTCAGCAGTTCGTAGTGAAAACGGAAAAAATTCACGCTCTTTGATAAAAGTTTCAAGAATTTTATTTCGATTTTTACGTGTTGTATCATAAATATGTACAGATTATTTGAAAACTGTGGTTTTTCGTAATTGTTTGTCACAAAAGTCAAATAATGGAAACAACTTCGCAATAATGGACAAATCATGCGGCCAGTTCTAGGTGACGCGGGCGGAGGACGGGAAACTAAAGTCTAATTTGGAGTGGCCCTAAAGCCTCTTCGCGTGACATATTATGGTTGACATGATTCGCCAATAAGCCTATGAATTATTAATGAGTGTTTGAACTTAAAATAGAATAAATGATAGTGTTGGGAAAGCATTAAGAACAGTTAACCGAGGTCGAGCGATTGCCAACTCTCATGCACTCTCACCCTCGTTTAATAAATCGAGTTATTTGGAAGGCGTTTTGACTCTACGAGATTTTAGAATGTCAAAGTTTTGAATTCTACAAATGCGACAAAATCATTCACATGGAATTTGACAATGCATGAATAATATAAGATATTTACAAAATTTGTGTTAAATAATAATATCTGTACAAATAAGGGGATTTGAATACTCTCAGGGTGGATCGATGCAGCTCATGAGCTGGTCTGGTGGTGAATGATGGTGAGGTGAAGTCTCTTCTGACAGAACTGTAGTGGTGACTTTACATATAGTATAACGTCATTGGGGCAATGACTTTAAAATAATGACGTTAAATAACGTAACGTTAAGCGACTTATGATGACAACGGGTCGAAATAGAAGTAAATGTTTTAAGCAATTGTAAAGGCTGTGTTTAATTTAAACCAATTCGAAACACTTAACTGGGTGTTTTAGGTGTGTCGGTGGTTTATGAGAGATTAACCATTTCAAAAAACATGAAATGGCATCTGTAGTATTTCATGCGAGTCACATACAGTACATCTGTCAGACGAGTGGAATAAGATTTCCCGTATGATCCAAACTTATGGAAAATAAAAATAAGGAAAAAAAGAAAAAATTACTATCTAGAGAAAATTGGGTACAAAAACGTCTGCTGCTTATTAGGTGTTCATTAGCACGAAGGACAAACACTAGCTCGGACTGTACTTGTCAACACGTTTATAGTGTTGAAAAGAATAAATGTAAAAAAAATCTAGAAAATGTTTACGAAAAGAGAACGAAGTGAAAGATTGGGGAAGCTATTGGGTTTTCTACACGAGATGATGACGTGATATGTGTGTTACTATGGTTACTATTATTATTATCTGGCTACTATAAAGAACATGGAATTGTATTGTAGTTAAAAACAGCGGGGTTATACCATGGTCATACAGCCCCTAAACACAGTCTTTCGATTACGACTCTAATTTCTTAAACAGGTATGTCTTGTATGTACATTATGCATGCTTGGATGCTGGCAATGTTGTCTCATGTTGGAGATCAGGACTGATCTCGTCACTTCAAACAAACTTGTGATCAACATCTTCCAGCATTGTTGGGACAATGGGCCTTTACTAGAGGTTCTTTTGTTAATCATATGCTAAAAATGCGCCGAAATGCTCTGGTTAATAGCTAATAAGAGACGATACAAGCACTTTTCTACCACCGACATATATGGTAGTAAAAACTCACTTTTTCTCCATAACTAAATTTTTCGCAACATAGTTAAGAAATTGTGGCAAATGTGAATAGTTTACTGTAAAAGGAAGAAAGTACTTGATCGTTGTACTACATATTCTTCAACACCCCCATTAAAAACCTGTATTTTATCTCAAGAGTGCCGTCTGAATGCGGGAAATGTTATTTCAAAAAGACAAAATCAAGAATTTTCCAGGAAATGTGGGTTTTAGAAATTTCTTTAAATTTCTGTCTACCCAATCCTCTATGGTGTAATGTACGACGACCTGGTTGTGCTGTTAACTACAATATTAGTCCTTCTAGAAAGTCGTGCTTGCGCCATAATGAGTTGCGCACGCGCGACCACACATCTTGACGTGGGCAATCTACAGTATATATCTGAACGTGTTTTACAATAAATAGAAAGTGAATATACGTCATGCACTAGAGAATAAATCTAGTTCTATACGAAAACAATATCTCTTAATACGAAATTTAATATATAGCTAGCGGATTTCTGTCATAAATATCTCAAATATATAAATTTGCTTTCCGTAGATCAGACCGAACTGAAATATCTATCCAAGCAAAGGATAGTAAATACAGTGTATAAAAATATTTCTATTCGTATGGTACTTGCCAACAAGCAATGTGATTGGGTATAGTTTGAATGAGATCATGGTCGTCAAAAAATCGTTTCAGCATCACAATCTTCTTCTGACCGTAACTGCAAGACAAATACGAACAACGTTAAAGAATGGTAATCTAAGATTAGCGAAGCGGTTTGAAGCTGGTTCAGGAAAAAATTCCGGGTAAAATGAAATTTGGTTGGAAATTTTAAGATTTAGTCAGACATCGGCCTCCGTTGGGGAATTCCGTGAAACATTAAATTAAATGGAACAGAAAGTGTGAATATTTGTATTGTGTATTACAACAATTTAATCTCACATGTGGTATGCTTATAGCCAGTCTTTGTTTTGATTTTTGACTGGAGAAAAATTGGAAGTAAAACTAAATCCAAACCTGTTCTTTGTATGTGTAATATTTGGGCCATTCTAAGAAATGTAATACATATTCATAGTATAAACCTCATGTTGGTCAACTTTTTAACTGTAGAATTTACCAGTTATTATATGTCATTAGATGAAATGCAAATTATATTTCCTTTGTATTTTGCTCCAAAAATTTATCTGATGACAGGATATCCGCAATTTATATAACATTTCTTCATGGAATGATCCACATACTACACACGCCAAAAATAATATTTAGAGTTAGTGGCACTCTAAACAGAAGGGATTAGTGACTGGTTCTTTAGAAAATTTATTACTTAGTTTTACTCATTTCCTTGTTACAATAAACCAAACCCAAAACCTGTTGATGGTAGGGACCCTATCAGAAGCCCCCATCTTCCCTCTACAAAATCATGCTGGATCAAAGCGGATTTCATAAATATTCTGCAGGGATGATACTGTAGATATGATACGTACTGGTGTTTTATCAGGATCTTTTAGCGTCACTTGAGCTGGTGAAACTGTAATAGATGATAAACGTAAATTAGTCTGAATATTAATACAGGATAATTTTTGAAAGGATTTTGAGGTCAGCATGTGCCGAATGAGGACGAACCTGAGTTTCAAGTGCAGCCACTGTATATGAATAGTCAGGGTGCGATAATTCAAGATTGTTAGTCGTACCTGACTGGTACGCCAATGACTGTTACCGCGTACGAGCGCTAGTACAAACTCAATGTGTACCGACTCTTTAAAATAGAGTACATAAAGTACAAGGTTTTGAAAGGTATTCAAACTACGAGTTAGGACAAGAAGCACAATTGCATATATAAACAATCGACTCCAACATTCCTTTGTCCCATCACTCCAGCCATGTTTCGTGCCAAGGCATGTCAGACTTACACATATACCAACTATAAGTTACGATATTGAATACCTTAGTTAGGAAAGGACATATGGTACCAGCAAAAAGTAAGTACGCAGATAATAGAGTTCTCTGTACACTATATGGTACATGACTGAAAACAAGGGAGTACCAGAACACAATATTAGCGCACCTCCGGTACACGTATTACCGCAGCCTGGAATAGTCTTACATAATAGTTTCTTCTTATCGCTAGGTATGTATTTCCACGTTTTCTTCAGTCATGTATACTTGGGAAATATTGACCAAGTCATAAACAGTTTAGTAACACTTACATTTACTCCCCAATCCTTGCACACCACTATCTTGGCTATCACATGAAGTATCAACACTAAACATGACAAAACAACAAAATTGAAGAAATCTGGCGATCATTTTTATCTGATGACAGTAAAGCCCAGTCCCACACGTAGGCAGTTTCGATAAATATCGATATTTCAAAAATATCGATATTCGATTTTTCCCATATCGAAAATATCGAAAGTTGTTACTAAACAACTGAATCTCCCATTATTCGGCAATTATTGTTTTCACCGGTGAAGTTTAGACAATGTGTGTATGGCGGCAATTGCGAACAAACGTACTGTGAAACCATTAGCCTTGTAAATATATCTTTAAACTTTCATAAACGGATAAACTGTTGTTAATAAATCTTTGAGACGTACCATGACTGGTTTCATGCACTGTTTTTAACTGTTTGTGATGCGTATACATGCAAGTTGACTAAATTACATTTTCTCATTTGCATAATTCGATATAGTCGATATTATCGATATTTTTTTTCGATATCGATATAACGATTTTTTCAATATCGCAACTGCCTACCCACACGTTGGTCCAATATCAACCAACGTTGTTTCATACATCATTGTTGCGTTTGTTTTGAAAACTACGTTTGGTAATGCGGGCTGCTTGAATCAGGGTTGTCTTTATTCAAAATCAGGATTGTGAAAGACATTTTCTGCAATATTTGGGCATGTTAGCTAACTAGGCAAAAACGAAAAACAAAGCATAAATGCCATAGGCAAATACTATTCATTGTTTAATTAAACAACTTATCCGCCCAAGCCTTTTTGGACATCACATTTGCAATATACATTAGTCCTCTCATCTCTCCCTCTCAAATATATTTGCGTTGTTGTTTCTTAAATTACTTTTCATTCATTCTTTCTTGACATCTTTCTTCCTTCATTCCAAAATTTTCTGGAAACTTAACAACTTTCTGGGACGAAATGGTCCTGTCGATACTTTTTCCAGCCATGTTGGACATTTTTATCAAACATACCGCACAGCGATGTTGCATGACGTTGCGATGATTTGAATGGGCCGGGGTTTCACGTAGACGACAATTTTTAATTGATTTGTTATCATTTGAAGTTAGAACACAATACACATACCTTCCATCTTGATTGGCAGCTCTCGGAAGAAACGGCATTTTATCACTGTCCAAATACAGTCGACTGCTTTTCGGAGTCTGAAAGAGGATAGAACATGAAATAAGCAATTAGTAACTTACTACTGTACAGTTAATTACTAATTATAGGATATTAATTATTATTAATTACAGTTCATTTATTGATTCAACATTTAAAAACTCACCATTCCTACGCCACGGTCCGACTCTTTACTCGTTTCTGGAAACAAAATTGAAACGTGGTTCAGTTTGAAAGTATATTTTATCGACTTATCCCAATCACATTCATGTAATTATTGTAATGCAGATATTAATTTATAATCTAGCCGTGTTTATGGTCTGCTTTTACTCGCTTGATACTGTACGTTACAGGAATTATTAAGTTTAATTCACAATTTGTCCTTTACGAACTTTTCGTTGACACGTTTTGAAGCACAACAAAAACACTACGGTGACGCGGTATGCTGCTTAAATGTAAAGATAATAATAAACTAACAGGGCAAATTGTGCGAAAAATGAGCAACCACGCCACGGATGAACAATGTAAATATGTCTTCTAAGTTCGCTATAGCTGTGTCAAAAAGTTTCGTTTACCTTCATCAATGTATTTCTTTACAATCTGATGATGTTGTTTGGTGGATAGTTCGCTGGCTTCAGTGCTGACTGTATCGGGATAGTGACTACGGTATGGAATACCATTCTCTCTCAACTGGCTGCGCTTTTTATGTCTTCGGCGTCTGTAGAGGTGATAAAGAACCGATTAGAGACATATACATTTGAAGGTCACAGTCGCGTTCACACTATGTCGCAGCGAAATGGTTTGAAAAGGTCAATTTTGCCGTAACAATTTGAGCACGGAAAGAAATGAAACGAAGCGTTTGGCGGCTTCGTGTGAACAGTGACTCCGTCTTTATTTTGCTCCACTTTAGAATTCAGGCCTAAGAAATAATGCAGCATTTTTGCGCGTAATTTCAAAATAGCTAACTTGCTTTGTCCTCTGGACTTTGAAAATCTTTTGATGAGTATTTGCGCTTTTGGCACGTGTGACCTCACTAGAACAGCAGAGATTGGCTAGTAAAGCCAACAGTAAAAACCCTAATTGTAGAAATGTTGAATAAGCCCAAACTGTAAGAAAAGTACGAGATTCTTCCTGGCAGGAACAGTATTCTGTAGCATAATATCTCACAAATTGAATAGCACGTTCGCATGACAAGAAAAACAAACATTCAATTATTTGTGCAATTATTTGGGCGTTGATGGAGGCTTGACGATGGCTAATGTGAACACTATTTGGCGTAATTAGTTCGCCCAGGCGCAGTGTGAACGTGACCAGTCTATGATTGTATATATTAGAGTGTTGATATATATTTAAAAGATAAAATAATAAGAATGTGAAACTCATTATTAATTGATGAAGAAATCATGACCGTGAAGGAGTTTGTATATTGAATACAAAACCATGCTGATTTACATAATTTAAGTTCAATTTTCTCACCAATATGTAAATATGTAAATGACATATAACATAAAGCAGCACCGAGGGGGGGGGGGGGCTGGGTAAAGGCGGGGGAAGCAAGGATCAGTGACGTAACGCTCATTGGGTAGGGTTGGTTCAAAACTAAGGGGCCCCGACAGTTAGGGGTCCCCATCAGCCACGCGGCCTATCGCCCAGAAAATTAGAAAACGTAAAAAAGTTAATAATGCTAAATAATAAAGCCTTCATCGACAACGGTAGCTATTTTGCTATTTTTTTTTATTCCATCTCAAATAAAACTAAAGTTATTCTTATTAGTTGTTACATGTGTTGGAGACTGTTATTGCTATTGTTATAGACAGGGAATTTTTCAGAACATTCTATAAATATTCAATATAAATGTAATATCTCAGTCAAACAATGACAACAGCCAACAGGGGGCCCCCACACCAAATATGCCCACTCTTCCACCGTTACGCCACTGGGCCAAGGATGAGATGGTATAAACACGAAATGAGAATAGATAAGGTAGAGCTGGTCAGGAGATGAGATGATGTGAAGTGGGGTAAGAGTGAGATGATAATAATATGACTTACCCGCTCCAACAAACGAACGTAATTAAAATAAACAGCAGCAAAACACTGATAATGCAGCCGATGATTATTCCCTTCTTGATGTCTCCCGTGGTCGCCCCATTAGGCTCTTTTTTCTTCGTGGGAACTAGAAATATAGAGTTACCAATGAATTTTTCACGCTTGTATATGCAGAGAATATAACGTAGCGCAACTATTGACTGACCGACAGCAACCAGGAGAGCTAGCAACAACAACAAATTTAATTACGTAGAATAAAACGTTTGGTGTGGTTAACCGGCAGACACCATCAGAAGGTGCATCAAAACTGCAAATACGACTAACATAAAATTAACACCATAGACATCTTAGGTTTTTCTCACGATGGCTCTGAAAAGCACTTGAAACACTGTTGCTATCGGAAGATTTGAACTAAGCTGCTCTTAATTCAATAATCTTTTCATCTATATTATCATCCATGCTAGAACGTTGGCCAATGATAAGGGATCAAATGAACTTACCTGTAGGTATCTTAGTGGTGTCCACAATACAACGTCCCCACGGACTTTGCCCAGCAGAATTCTCAGCACTAATATTCACCACAAACTTGGAATCTCTTTTAACATTACTCATCTCACATGACAATGGTTTAATCTCTGTAAAAATTGTGGCAGGTTCTTCTCTTTTGAACTCTATTTTTAATGCTTCGTTTTTAGCACCAAGCCACACAACATGGTACTGACGGATCCGGCCGTTCGGTTTGGTTGGTTCTCGCCACGATACCACAACTTTGGAGCCAATTACGTTACAGCTAATCCGGCTTGGAGGGGTTTCCGGTTCTAGAAAATACAGGTCAAAGTTTGTTATATTGGATAAATGAAATGCAGACGACCTTTCACACAAGAGAAAATAAGTCGCGACTTGATTAAAAAAGTCTATTCAATTCCCTAACCAATCACATCGCCGACGTTTGCTTTCGCTTCGTGCGATTCACCTGGTGGAAACAGGAAAAAACTATGGGACATTTGCTGTAATTTCATACAATTTGAAAGGCGCCCTCCGTTCCCCCAGTTCAATGTTGCGCCCACAAAAATCACCGCAAGACGCCAACATTGAAACGAGTGGGGGAGGCAGGGCGGAATGAATAAATGCATGCATGAAGAAATGGTACAATGCACCTGAATGCATGTAAAAACTAGATTGTCCTGATGTATATTGTCAAAGATTGTTTGCTTACTGTAACTCGCTAGTATGGCCATTGAAATGAATATAACCGAAACGCAACCTCCAACCAGAAATTTGAAGCCAAACTTGAAGGCCAGTCCCAGTCTTTCCACGCATGCAAAGTGCGGTTATGTTCATTTCAATGAGTATGGCATGTAATCCTGGTCTCGAAGCCACAGCAGCTTATACCCAGGGCAAATCATTGCTTCCCCAACCAAAATTAAACGTGGGGAACAACAGAAGATTTCATTTTCCAAAATGTAAAATGAGCAGTTCTAAATATTGAAAGGTAAGTTTGTTTTCATGGTAAGTTTTCATGCATGATTGGCCATGATTGGCTCTCGACTCTTAGTGATGACAAGCTTTCCACGTCCAATTGCTATTTGTGAATTTCAAAGTGATATAAAATTCCGGTGGTATCGGCGAAGATCGGTTCGGAATATTGTTAAATTTCCATATTAGTGCATCACTAGGAATAAACATCATGCGCACCTGTTGATTCCAGGTGATTTTAACAAAGGACATACACAAACGAAAAATTCCTTTTTTCCTACAAAATTTCCTTGCCACCCAAACGGTGGAAAAAATGAAGAAAATTCAGGCAAATTTGAGGCAAATGTATCATAGATCCTACGAGAAATCTAGCATCATTACATTGTCTGAAAATTTGGGCAAGCTTTCAAGAGTTCCCTCCATGAAAGTATCTGCTCCACATATATGTTTATGTTCATCAGGGGCGCAAGGTGCTTGATAATGGTGGAGGGGTTAAATGGCAGAAGGCGCTGAACGGCAAATGTTGAAATTTATAATCCCTAGATCGCCGGAAATGGCATTTTCAGATTCTTCTGTACCTCTTGTGTTAGACCTATACTATTTATAAGTTGATTTTTACCGGTTTAAGACTTGTAACTTGTACAAGTTACAGAAATCCTTGCAATTTCCTTTAATTTTTGTATTTTTCCCTGCCATTTCCTTGTAAATTCCTTGCAAGGACCAATATTTCCTTGCTGCAGAGAAAATCCGTGTAAGTGGAAGCACTGAAACCACCAGTTCATGTACAATTTATACTATACTAATGATGCCATTATTGTACGGTGTATGGGTAAATATCAGGATTTTGGGCATCTCGCTCAATGGAAATTTCAAGTGACACCTTATGCCTGGCGCACACGATGCGATTTTAGTCGGCCGATAAAAATCGTTTGACATACCGATATACATCGGTATACTCCGCACACGATTACGAAAAAAATATGCTCTCTGAACTGTAGCCGCCATGTTGCCAAATAAATAGATCACAGCATGAAATCTGATTGGTTATACTTAAAATTCCACCGATAAAAATCGTATAATATCAAAACGTTTTGATGTTGTCCGATTAAAATCGAGCAAGTCCAGTGTGGATTATAACGGTCGGCAATCGGCTATTTGCCGAACAAAAACACCAAATGGCCGATCAATTTCATTCTGCACGGACATTTTGTCCGATCAAATAAAATACACCACACTGTTCATTTAAATTGAAGGTAGTTTATGTGAAAAGTACTGTTTGAAAAGCATCTAACTATGCCTACGATACCATGCAATCAATAAATATTTGGATGAAAAAATCACTCAGAGGAAACATTGTCATTGAGCTTCTCTTTTAGCAAATACTCTCTCAAGTGACCGACTCTCGATAGTTACAGTCCATAGCCGGCGGCGTTTACAATACTTACTACTTACAAAAATATGTTTCATTTCTATAAGCCGTAGGCCTAGCTATATAATTTATTAGTAAATACCTTTATTTCCTAAAGAAACACAAACAAAGTGAAGGCGCGGAGGACGTTGCTAGTTGGCGTACGCCAAGCTTTTTTCTGCATGCAAATGTGCAATCAATAATGGTACGTCGATCTGTAGCACTTTCACGTAAAAATGGTTGAAATAGTTGGCTGATCATTCTTGGCCAATGTCCGAGCAACAGTCTCGTTAATCGGACATTTGTCAGACCTAAGCAAAAACGTTATAATCCACGCTGCGAGCAACAAAATTCGGTTAAAAATGACACCGCACACACAACGATTTTGTTAGTTTTAGTCAAACGATTTTTATCGGCCGACTAAAATCGCATCGTGTGCGCCAGGCTTTACATTGGCATCACCTTAGTATTTATGCATGAACTTGTGGTTAGAGCTCGACAACTGTCTCTCTGTAGCTCAGCTGGTTAGAGCGCTGCACAAGAACCGCATGGCCACAGGTTCAATTCGTGACAGAAGGCCGGTAGCATTTTTCACAACAGCTCCTGGTTAGGTCTATTAAATGTATACAACAAACAATTTTCAAGCACTTCTTTTGAAATTCACTGTTGAACACATCTTGAAATGTACGTTACAAAAATCGAACAGTTTGATACTTACTTTTCTCTGGTACTGTACAATACTTCGAATCCAGTAGCCCCGACACTGGATGGTTGCGAAATATTGTTTTAATTTCTACACCGTAAGTATTGCCTGGCAACACACCATATAACGTCACATTGAAATAATTCGTAGAAATAGTCTTTACTTGTCTTGCCTCAACGCCATAAACATAGTATTTGACTTCGAACTCAGGAACATAGCGGGTTGGCGTTTGTTCCCATCTCAGGGCGATAGCTGTCGAGTTGAGTATAGGCTCGCATGAGATGTTCATGCCTGGCGTGCCGTTAGATTTGTTGAACATTGCAGGGTTCACATTCTCTGGAACTAAGGAATTAAGACACAATCAGCAAGTTAATTAATACAGTGAATAGACACATTGTAGGTTATTAAAAGATTATGCGAATTATGTGCGTCGGGCATTGAAAACTGCCCCTATTAGAATTAGAGAGGTGTTCTTATTAAGAGAGATGTCCGTCATAATGGAGGTGTCCGTATTATGGAGGTATCTGTAATAGAGAATTGTCTGTATAAGAGAGGTATCCTTATTAGGGTGATGTCTGGAACAGAGAGAGGTATCTGTAATAGAGAATTGTCTGTATAAGAGAGGTATCCTTATTAGGGAGTTGTCTGCAACAGAGAGATGTATCTGTAATAGAGAATTGTCTGTATAAGAGAGGTATTCTATTAGGGAGATGTCTGTAATAGTGAGACACGTCCGTGTTAGAGAGGTATCTGAAATAGAGAGATGTCCATATGAAAGAGGTGTCTTCAATAAAGAGTTATCCGTTTTAGAGAGATATCTGTAATACAAATAAGTGACGTGTCCGTATTAGAGAGGTGTCTATAATAGAAAACCATCTGTATTAGAGAGGTGTCGTTATTGTTGAGATATCCGCAATCGAGACATGTCTGTATTAGAGATATGTCTGTAACAAGAACTGTCAGTATTAGAAAGGTGTCTGTAATAGAGGTGTCTGTAATAGAGAAGTACCGTAAGGAGAGGTTCTTATAATCCTGTCAATTTAAGGAGTAATTTTTCTCCCTACCGTTCTTTGTTGCCACAACCTTAATTGCAGGTCTAGCATTCCTCACTCCAAACCCAAATACAACCACGGTAATGACGTACTCTAAATTTAACCCTAAAACAAAATATAAACCACAATAAGAGCTTGCTTGTGAATTTCTGCAACTCAACTTAGGCTTACTAAACTACAGGCTAGCTCTCACACGAACATGTACTCCTTCCAGAAAACCTGTGGTGCTCGGTAGAGGAAACTGGGATCAGCTTTTTCACAGGTGAGCAAGGTCAACTGTAGTGGGACAAATCGAACTTCAAGTGGTAGGCACTATGCCATGCAAATAACCACGGTACCATATGAATGGATATTCAATATTCTGCATCAGAAATTGTCTGTATATAGACAAACCTATTTTCAATTCGTAATCAAACGCTCGCCCTTTTATGATCTCCTCCTTCTTCCCACCCAAGTAATCCTTCAGGAATCTGTATGTCAACTTATATTCTTTGACATCCACGTTGGGTGGGGACGTGACGCTGAACAAAATACTTGTGTTGACACTTCGAATATTGATCGACGGTGCTGGAATAACGGCTGAAAATAGAAAAATATTCTTAAGAAACTGAAAATAGAATGTTAGTGGTAATCGTGATGGGGGCAATGATGATATAATGGTAATGATGATGATTGTGATGATGGTGGTGGTGGTGGTGGTAATAATGACGGTGACGGTGGTGATGATGATTGTGATGACGATTATGATGTTGTTGTTGGTGATGGTGGTGGTGATGAACTAATGGTGATGAAGATGACCAGTAGTACTGGTATTTTTATGGTAATTGTGATGATGATGTGGATGTCGTTTATACTGATGATGGGAAGTTGATGTGGCAATTACGATATTGGTAATGGTGTTGATACTAATGTTGATGGTGGTAATTTCACTTACGTCCGGCAGACGTCCTTGAAATAACACATGACACTTTCTCTGAAAATGGACCCAGTCCTTCTTTAGTTCTCGCTGCAACCTTCACAGTATACTTTGCCCCTTCGACAAGATTCCTCAATGTCGTTGAATAGAATTTTTTTGTTACAGTCAGATTATTTCTCTTGCTTTCACTTGCGGTAAAATACTCGATTTCATAGCTAATGATTTTACCCCTACGTCGCTCTATGAATGGAGGAAGCCATGTTACATCCAGGGTCTAATAATGTAAAAAAAATGCAACTTGCAATTTGTACAACTGAGTGCGGTACAATTGTTCAAACGCGGAATATGCGTTCCGCACGCATTAGAGATCCAGAATTTATGCGTTACGCAAAAGATTTTACTACATTTTGTAGTATGCATTAATGTGCATTAAATAGTATATGTATATAGGTGCAGAAATTCGTAGGTGTAACATGTCGGTTTCTTTCAAGCACTTTGTCAAAAAAGTGCATTTAAAATTTCCGATTGAATTGTGTTTTACATTGAAGTGTGTACAATTTAAAAGTGTGCGTAAATTTCACAAGCCTACTTTGTAACTTACCCCGGTAGAGTAGCTTGTTAATTTCATTTCATTTGGCGGACCAGAAGGTTCTGCAAAAAAAAAAACACATTTACTTTGAAATCCTTATATAATGTTTGGGATTTGTTGTTTTGTTGTATTTTGTCGTGTTGTGTTGTGTTCTTTTTAGTGAACTCCATATCGCTAACCAAGTCATAGAAAAAAGTATAACAATCATTGAAGGCAGAGCATTGAAGGTACGGTCAACAGGACATGAGTCCCATGTGAAGACCAACCTGATACAAAACAATAAGTAGACATACATTAAAGACAAGGACTGGAGCACTATTTACAAAATTATATAAAATTTAATAGGTTAGATAATGAGCAACAGCTTAAGTTGAAAGAACGGCAATTAGAGCAGTAGGTTTTCCAAGTGCGCGTTCTGTCAACACCGAAAGAAGAGTCTAATATATTGAGAAGCTTAAAAGGGTGAAACAGACGAACTGTTACGAATGATCGGAGAGTGATTGTTCCATAGAAAGACAATTCGGTTAAAAATGAGTTTCTAAAAAAGAGGTTTTGCACGGATTGACTTGAAGCAAGTTGAATCAAAGTCAAAATACGAAAATTTCGGCACACTGCTTGTCAAGATGGCGGAAATTGAAGGAGATATTTGGACGTCAGTTCCAGTCTTCCAGTTCTATTGCTTTTGTCTGCGCGGTTAACAAAAAGCTGGCTTTACTTTTTGGACTCCAGTCCTCGCTCCAGATATTATAGGGAGTGCAATGGTTCTATTTAACTCATACCGTGTTTTGTTTTGTATTGTTTTGTTTTGTTTTGTTTTGTTTTGTTTTGTTTTGTTTTGTTTTGTTTTGTTTTGTTTTGTTTTGTTTCGTTTCGTTCGTTTCGTTTCGTTTCGTCACTGAAATATCTCAAAAACTCACTTGTTCCTAACGTCCTGACCCGAGACGTATTAGATACGCCCCGAGATCTTTGATCAGCATACAACTGTACAGAGATCAAATAATCTGCATATGGTCTTAAATGTTTAACAATAAGATGGGTTGCATTGTCGTCTGTCACTCGCTGAAAGTCAGATCTCATCACGTAGTCCAAAACATGCACCACGAAGTAGACAGTCCTGTAACCTGGAGGAATTTTCCATGTAATATTGACCATGGTTGGAGACAATGCATGACCTTGAACCTCGTGGGGTGGATCCATTTTGTCTGTATTGGGAAGGAAAGAAAGAAATTTGATTGAGGGGGGAAATTAGAGAAAGATTAAAGTACTTTCAGTATGCAACGAATTTGATGATTGCATTTGCCCAAAATTCCGATGTTTTTACCCATGCACCGTACATTGGCATCAACTTAGTATTTATACATAAACTTGTGGTTGGAGCTCGACAACTGGTGTCTGTAGCTCGAGTTGGTTAGAGCACTGCACTGGAATCGCAGGGCCGCAGGTTCGATAATTTAATTTAATTTAATTTTTTTACAATCAACAAAACTATTGAAGATACAGACAACAGGACTGAGGAGTCCCAAATTAAGCCCTACCCACACATTACATTGACATTGTGAAACAATAGAGACAGGGTTACAAACTTTAACAAAGCTACAACACAAAGTTACAACACACGATCAATGAGTTCCAAACCATCCTTACACTTTCCAAATTTAATATAAACTAGACATGGACCACCCATATATTGCAGTCCTTTCTAAGTCAACTACCTTAAAATGAAGAGACCGGAAAATTGCAAAATTGGTTTGGGAAATGACCAAGTCACAAAAACGTTTTATACATATAAATGTATCAACATTGTACGGCACAGACACAGTCACAGAATACAGGAAACATCCTAAACATGCATGTGTTCCAAGCTGTCCCTGCATTTTCCAAAGATAGGATTTCAAGAAGATAGGATTTCAAGAACCTAGACCGCCCAAGTATTGTTTTCATCTGGGCTTTTAATTTAATTACGATAGTAAATAAATATGATAGTTATAATATGATAGTCATAATATGATAGTTATAATATGATAAGTTACGTTTATGATAGTTGCGTCTTTCGCAACGGCTCCTAGTTAGGTCTAATTAAAATTTGAAAATTCCACTTGAAATTTCCATCTATAAATCCCTTCCAATGAACAAGCCCTAACAACGAGCCAATATCGCCGGCATAGCTTCATTTACGCATACGAGATGAAAAATGCAGTCCTTGTGTTTCACATCACCTACCTATGATATTCACAACAGTGTGATCAATACTTGATCCATATTCATTCTCAATCTCACACTGGTATACTCCTTTATCATACGCTAAAACATTTTTCACCACCAATTTATGCTCTAAGCCGTTTCCATAGAAATGTATTCGGGAATTCTTGGCAAGCGCTCGGCCATCTTTGTACCACGTGACCAATGGCGTTGGAGTACCATTGACGTTGCATGTCAAGACTAATTTCCCTCCTTCCTTCTGTTTTGCTGTTGCTGGTAATCTACTTGTGAAACTGGGTGGAGCTGAAATGTGTCAAAACACAAATAGTTAAGGTCTAGTTGTTCAGGAATATTTCATAGCCATGTTTCCCAAAGATGGGAAAATCAGAAAACGTCGTTTCTATGCCATGTTTCCCGAAGGGGGAAAGACAAGGAAACATTAGGGAGTTTACGCATGTACGACGGCGGCGTCAGGACGACGACTATAAAACAAACTGTTTGAAATAAATGATTGTATGGAAATATTGTCTTTTATTTACTTTTGTGTGAATTTAATACAGTTCAGAATGAGTAAAACAGACTTTAAACCTTCAGTGCAATTTTGATCAACTCTGCTAGAAAAATTGCCTGCCACGGCTTTAAATGCCAGCGTACTTCACAAGACGTGAAAACATGCATTTTGCCGTCGTCAACAGAGCCTGGGTGACGTCTGTAATTCCAGCTATACGTTTAATTATTCATTTCTTTTGTGCTACATGATTAATGACATTGTATTGGTAGCCGTCGTTCCGACGTTGGCGTCTTACATGCGTAAACTCCCTATTGTTTCTACCAGTGGCGAAGCTAGCCATAGCAACAGGTCATGCTATACACATTTTTAATTATGTACATTATATAAACCTTTAGAAGTTTTTAACCTTTTTAGATGCAGGCTAGCTGCAGTTGCCATGGCTAACTTCGCCACTGGTTTCTAGACCATGTTTTACAAAGGTGGGCAAACCAGGAAAACATTGTTTCTTTGACATGTTTCCCGAAAGATGTTCAAACAAAGCAGCATTGTTTATGCTAAAAAATAACGAGGAAGCAAAACTTGTTTCGCAAAACTTATTTCTGAATTAGTTATTAATTAAATAAACATTAGATGGAGTTTTTGATTATTGAGTTGTCGCTTGGCTTACAGCCGATTTCACGCAACTTTGACCACAAATGTTCCCAACTTAATTTATTTAACTGCTTTTCCATCACTACTGTACAGAAATATACACACACATATACATACATAACACAATGACATAAACTGAGTTGATGGTTGGGTATCCGCAACAGCCTGAAACCAATTACTGCGGGCCAAAACGTTAAGAAACAAATATCAATAACACATGTCACTTCGTTGCGAAGTTCGCAAGTTCGTTGTGAAATTCGGAAGTTCATACTGGAATTCACAAGCCAATTTGTAAACAAAGTCCCTGATTGGTCACTGAAGTAAAAGAAGCCATTTTGAACTTCGCAACGAAGTTCGGAACATTTGTGGTTAAAGTTTCGTGAAATCGACTGTGACAGCGGTCCGCCTTGTCATGATTTAGTGATTTAACGTTCCACTGTCTTTTAATTCTTTTGAAAATCCCACTGTTCTCCATTCCAACAAGTCACTCATTGTTCAGCATTCTGAAACAAAATATTTCTTACCTCCAACAGATACAAGGACCGTTTCCTCTTCGCCATTCGTCGCTAGGCAACGATATTTTGCAGCATCAGATTTTTGTACGGAATCAAATATTAGATTAGCAAATCCCGAGCCATTCACAAGTGTCCTGGTACTTTGGGCTGTCACCTTGCTCCAAGTAACAGAGGATTTTAGGGGACTATTTTGTATACATTCAATCACCAAAGGACGTCCAACCACAGTTTTGATAATTCTTCCAGGATAAATATGGATACTGGTCTTTGATGCCGCTAAACATGAAAGGAAAAATGAAATATATGGTTTAGTTATGATAATGGGATAAAATAAGTCATATTGTCATAACATATGCCCATCTAAATACAAATGCAATTTGATAGTTTATAAATAGGGTTTCTTGGGTGAACGTCCAATAGGTCCATGTGCCAGGGAGTATATGTTTTTTGTTGGGGTTACCCCAACAAAAAACATATACTCCAAGTTCCTGCATAAAGTTCAAGAGCCTGGGAACGAGGTTGCATAAAGTTTACACACTTTAGCTATCGATCTCTTCTACCTAACTCGGTATGTCAGAGTTGATTTGAATTTTTCCAATGAAACTTTGCGCACTAAAAGCTTAGGCGACCTCACGTGGCCAAAACATACTGGGGCCGCAACCTGGCACAAAAATCGTTCTAGCACAAAATGATGCTCGCACAAAAACATTTAACCTCGTGCAAAAGGTGTCGAACACATCGTTGGCGTAAAATGCTCGCGAATTTCTTAACATTTAACGTATATAACAATTAAACAAAACCAAAATGTCATATTTCGTTGTTTCCTCTCATCTTTCGCCCTATCATAACGATCTAGACTGTTTACATTTAGACAGGCCGAGACCAACGATCCAGATTTTCTCGCCTATAGGTTATAGGGCTATAGCCTGGACCAAAGTTTGTTTACACTATACAAATGGAGGCCAAAGTAAAGCCCAGACCAGGGCTAACAGAGTGAGCAATGCTTTAAAGTACAACATAAAGGAATGTAAAAAAGATCGAAATGGTCCAGCACTGAGCTGCAAGATTTGTAGAAAATTATTATTCTAGATACAGTCACGTTACCCCAATAATACAAAAACTGGGTTGGGACTCATTGGAGAATAAAAGACTTTCAGCTCAGTTAACTATGTTTTATAAAACAAATCAAGGTTTAGTAGGAGTTAATTTTCCATCAAAAGTCCCCCTTTTATATATCGGAGACATTTTTCAAGACTACCAAACGAATTCCTTTACATGGCTATAACCATTTGCAAACTAGCATTAATGTGTATAGGTATTAATGTATATAGGTATTCTTTTTATCCAAGAACTATTATTGGGTGGAACAATATCCCATTGACAATTAGTAATCTTAGTAGTTTTCTGTTTTTAAGGAGAAAGCATCTGCTTTCGTGAGATCGTAACTTTATATTTTTAACTATAGTACAGTAAGTACATATATAACCGTATTATTGTAAATAGTTAGATATATTTGTATAACTCCTGGTATAGTGTAAACTGTTTGAGTACTGGATTAAAGCATTAAAGCATAGACTACAACTACAATATAAAAATCAAACTTACATTGCCCATCAACTTTCACCCCACGACTAGTAACAGCTTTGTATGCATTCTCAGCCCGACAAGAATAATTTCCATTATCAGAAATTTTGTAATCTCTTATCCTCAACACTCCAGAGGAGAGAACATCCAACCTACCACCTCTAAACGCATTGAGCGGGATATTATCCTTGAACCAGGTATACGTCACCGGTTGGTTGGTCTCCACATTACACTTTAACCTTACGACGTTGTTGAACAGGGCTGGACTTGATAAATTGACGGAAATGTTCTGCAGACCTAACGAGAAACGAGAGAATGATTGTTACTATAAATTCGGATGAGAAGTTTTATTTCAAATCCGACTATGAGGACTGGACTAGATTTCAAGCCCCCGCAATTTAATCAAGTCCGAGGCGAATCCGAGGACTGTGTCAAAATGCGAGGATTTGAAATGACATCTCATACGAATAAATCATTACTTAAAGTGAGGTGAATTAATTTTGATCCAGTCCAAGGACTAAATTAATTTTGATCCATATCCAGTGTTATCATGTGAGCTAAACAGAGCAATATGGTTGGCTAATTTACTCGTCATGTATTATTAATGTTCTGGGATATAGCATTAATGTTAAACACTGTATACAGCTATTTCAATTAAGGTTGTCCCCCAGCAAAGCGGAAAAGTCGAATACGAGCGCGAAAGGCTTGCTGGGAATCGCTAAAAAATTAATGAATTTATTAGCGATTCCCAGCAAGCATTTCGCGCTCGTATTCGTCTTTTCCGCTTTGCTCGGGGAAAACCTTAATTGAAATAGCTGCATACGCAGGTTTCACTAAGGGCATCGCGCTCCCTTTCATCTGGCGTTAGGCAGAATAAAATAATAAAGTGGGTGCATCAGGTACTCAAAGGGTTAACAGGGTGTTTTAATTAATTAACCAATTGAATGGCAGCACTCTCCCCTTAATGAGTAAAATCGTCTGGCGTTAGGCAGAATAAAATTATAGAGTAGGGCGCATCAGGGCGCATTGCTTGCTTTTAGGAAGCTTCATGTTGATACGTCAAACGACAAACGCCGGCCAGAAAAAGAACAAATTTACTTTGTAAAGCGATAACGATAAAATGAAGTGAACTGGTTGTATTCAAACATAAATACAAAATGAGTCTTTGAACATAAGAAAAATATGACCAAACGAAGGGAAATGAAAGCTTCACAAAGAAAATCTGGTTCGGTCGTTTCTCCCAGATGTGAGACTTACATTCTGTATAATAAACCAATATTGAACCAGGCAACGCGCACAAAGCATTACTAATTTATTAGAAAAATATTTGTATATGTGATAAGGGAACACATTGTTATAAAGTTATTGTGTTTTCGGCTTGATTGTTGGCGAATTGTTTGTTTTGCTTGTTAGTAAAACTTGCTAACTCGCAGGAAAAACTTCTGGGTCCCCACATGGGGATTAAACTTGAAATTGTTATTTAAACTATTAAATTCGATTAATCTACACTTAATTTGGTAATGCGAGAAATTGCCAGAAATTGCAGCTAAACAAGTTTGGAATTTCCTCCATCATTTCTTGGTTTAAACATACTTGCTCGAAGAGCACAGGGTTCTATAACAAACGGGGAGGTGAGTCCGCAGGGAGGTGAGTCCGCAGGGAGGGGAGTCCGGGATTGGACGCAACTCAAGGTGCGTCCAATCCCGGACTCACCGAACCTGCAAGTATGTTTGGTTTTTATTACATGCCATTTCGGTAAAATACTAAAAAGTACTGAACAATTGTATACGCATTTTACTTTTTAGTATAGAATTTCATGTTTGGATAACGAACATTTTAGCCGCCAACATACTACGCAAACAAACAAACTTAGGCTTAAATTAAAGCTAAAAAGATTCTCTACAATATTCCTTTATTCTTGAAAAGAGAAAATGAACACATTCTGCGAAAACATTGCCAAGACTTATATAAACTGCCCGTGCCGAATAAATTTCGGCGGCCAATACAGAATATTCCATTTTCATCAAACAAAATAAAAAAATAATAATTATAAAACAATTAAAAACAGTTAATTTATTTTTTATTTAATTTAAATCTTCGTCTGAAATTTGCTCAAATCGTTTCATAATGGCCGCCGCCGAAACATCGATCTCGAACCCACCTCCTAAACATACGTCAGCAGGTGGGTTCGAGATTGAACGCACCTCCTCGTAGCCAATATAAGAAAGCCGCTAATACGCTAGGTATGAGATAAATCCATGAGGGAGCCTTATTAATGCATATTTCGTAACCAAACATGTAATTCATTATTTACATGAAATCCCAGATTTTTTCCCAAACACCCTTAAATTATCACTAACCACATCGACATGCTGAAAGAACCACTTGAAATGCGGCTCCCTTGAAATATTTGAAAAACGAAAGTTGGATCAGATTACACTCAAACCACCAACGTAGTAGATCATTTCAAGATATCTAGATTCTAGACCACTGCATTAACGTTATTTTAGAAGTAGGAGGGAAAGTTTTCGATCGATATATATACTTTCATGCAAGATTTCACTGTTGGTTCCTTGTATATATAGGTCTCCATCCAGCAATATGATTGAATGATTGATTCTAAGACCTAGTCTCGGTCAACCAATTTTTCAGTCATCTAAAATAATTTAATTTGCCTCAGTTGAAACAACCACAATGATTAGATTGAAGATCATAGATATATACAGATACTGAAGAAACTACAGAGTTAGTTCCGAAAGATCACCAACTCCAACCGACTTGACCTCGCAACTCAGTTGGCAGAGCATTGGACTAGCAAACCAAAGGCCGCGATCAGGCAGTTTTTTCAGCTTGCCAATTCGACTATATATAGCATTGTCTAACGTTATTATCTTCAGTTGAATATCACTTTCACAGTACAATAACTTAAGCAATAGTTTATTTATGTATTAACTGTATAATGACACAAAATCGCTATAAAATGTATAACAATGATGGAAGGTATGGATTAATAGGTTAGATTATGAGCAACAGCTTAAGTTGAAAGAACGGCATTTACAGAGCAATAGGTATTGCAACTGCGCATTCTGTTAACATCGAAAGAAGAGTCTATAAATTGAGAAGAGTAGTGAACATGGAGCTGGAGCTTAAATTATGAAACAGACGAACTGTTACGAATGATCGGAGAGAGATTGTTCCATAGAAAGACAATTCGGTTAAAACAACAGATTCTAAAAAGAGAGGTTTAACTCATAGATGGTAAATCTTTTGTTGTGTTTTCTACGACCAACAACGTACAAGTCTTAGCATGATTAATCAAGTTGACGTTTCGGAGCTTAATCCATCATCAGGTTTGAAAACTACAATGTAAAAATTAGTGGTTTTTTTTTATCCTGATGATGGAGAAAACTCTGAAATGTCGTTTTAATGTTGTTGAGCCTTCTTCCTGGTCGTCCCAAAGACACGTTTTTAGACCAATCTTCTAGACCGGAAATTTTTAAAAAATTCAGTAAAACCAGAGCAAATAAAACCATAATTAACTCATATCCACAGTATTGTAAAACCATAATTAACTCTCAAAAGACAGTTACTTGTTTTCAGATACTAAAAAAATTCAAACACTACTAAATGCCTTGTTTGATTGACAGTATAAAGCGTTGGTGTACTTGTGAGCCAGATTGACCAACAATTCACCGCGTTCTTAAGAGAACGTTCGTTACTAGGTATCTTGAACATGACAAAGCATAACATAAATAAAATATGTATTTGATTTATAGCAATTCTCTAATCTCTACTAGCTTTCTGGGGAGTGCTCGGTATAAAAAATTCTCAGATATAAATAATCCTCGTATCAACAGTTTGAAATATTTAAGTAGAAGAGGAAACACTTTGGACACTCGTAATCAGACTGAAAACAACGTGTGTCATTCAGTCATGAAAAGATCACGTATCTATGTAATGCATATAGGTGTGGCCACCCTCGCAAACATAATTGAACATTACCAAATATATGTTGGTAGTTGTTTTTTTTTTTTGGGGGGGGGGAGAAGGGGAGTGGTCAGGTTTCGTGAATGTACTTTTTTGGTATGATAGGACGCAATAAAACATGTGCGATGCGCTTTTAATAGGCCTTGATTAGCACGGCCAGCTGCGAATTTTCATAAAATCGATGCGAAATTCAAGGAGGCCGATTAGATCTCTTATCATGTCGAAATTTTGCACAATTTTTAAACGTTTTGATTATATATATCCAAACAAACAAACAAACAAACAAACAAACACGACACATAGTCGGCATACATTCTTGCAGTCGCGGAAAAACTGGGCTCCCTTGTGCTCGCAAACATTTAGTAGTCTTCATTGACAGTGCTCGCATGTGTCACACCCAGTAGCGACGTCCCTGTTCTGGGAGACCCGTGCATCACACACACTCAGGGTACCCTATCTTTATATCATAAACTCCCTCATACATAGTATTTTCATTACATCTCTTTCTACATCAAATGCGATCCTGTTAAAACTATGGGTACTCGCAACGTCACCGAAACGATTAGGGTACTCGCAACGTCACCGAAATAGGCAGGGGGGGAGGACAAATCACTCTTGAGAGGGTCACGTATGCCCTAGCCCTAGGAGGGCCAAGAATTGCTAAGATGGTTGAAAGTTGGATTATGGATAGGGGTTGTGAATAGGATCAGGATCATAGAGGAAACAAACTTGCGTGCGCCAAACGGTATTATACCGAGTAAATTATATAAGTTGAATGATTTCGTATGCATGTTGGTAGTTTTTAGGTGTGGGTGTATGCATTAAGTAAAGTGCCCTTTTAAGGTGCACCCTTCAAATTATCTGGATCATATCAATATACATATATGTATGATCATCACTGCTCTTTTAATGCTGATACCAAATTTGGTCGTACGTGCTTGCCTTAATGAGTGGTATCAGTTATAGCAACATCCTATCAATTTGTAATTATCAAAAATAGTGCAAAAATCACAGCATATTCGTGAATATATATTGTGCTTTCACGTTTCAGTATATTTCCGATGTCATGCGCTCGGCAAAGGGGAGGGGGGGGGTTCAATCCCATTTCCCAGTGTCATAGTCACACTCACCAGAATGACTGCTCTGGCAAATCCCAGTGGACGATTGAAAGTCCCATCCTAAGTACCAGTTCCCATTTTACCTCTTAACGATTTTCCCTTCATTACCGCGCATATAGGAAGTTGATATAATGAATATTTTCAAGGGAACCTCCCTCTTCGAACATGATTTTGCCTGAGGAGGTTTCATTAATGGTTTACAACACTTGAAGGCACTTGTGAGAGCAAAATGCGTGTATTCGTAAGTATTCTGTTATTGGTAACATCTTACAGCTGTTTCTATACAACATCCAAAGTATTTCATGTTCATATTACCAAAATGTAATGCATAATATCACTTGAAACACAAGCACTCTCAATATCAAGCTGATTATATAATAGAATAAACGAATAATAAGAAATGTTTATATGTTTGCACTGCGTTAAATAAGTTAAAATCATTATCTAAGCATTGTTGAGTTTTAAACATTGAAAAGATAAAATAGAGAAGATCGAGATATTGCCATTAGCTGTTCCTTGGAAAAACAAAGTCATTATAACATAGCCTCCGGTTATAACCACAACTCAAAAGCCTTTCGATACTGCATGAATGCTTGTATTTCAAAGAAGCAACTATAGTGCTGGCAAGCAATGTTTAAAAAAACGGCGGAAAATCCAAGTTACTAAGATACATAAACAAAGAAACTAATTCTCCATCACAACCCACGCTAAAGGACCTTAAATTTGGCCTATGATTTGGCACGGTGGAAAAGGCGGTGCGCGAAATGCTCTTATATATAAAGCAATTTTAGAAAAAGTGCTGTTTGTTTGGATTTTGCCGAGTCCAAAATATCCAATTGTTATCTGTTGATGTAATATAAAGATTAAGAATATATTGGTTTTAAACACTTCGGTCCTTTTAGAGATCTTAGAGGATCTCCATTACAAAACCGATATCAAAACCAATGTTGTCTTAAGGCATACTAGCACGTGCAGATATAAATGATAAGACAAAGTTGTTCCTTTCAGCTTTTGTACAATAGCGCGAAACAAGCATATGGTTGGGTTTTGCGAACTGCTTTGGGGCATTAGATGGCGATCGACTTCGCCGGTTGTTCGAAAATAAACTTATTTTTCTAGAATTACGACTTGGTCAATAAAGTTTTATTTTCAGGTAACAAGGTAACAACCGGTCCAGGTGTTTTGGGAAATAAATTAAAGCAAATCTCTCTACTTTACTTTCTGTTTTATTATAAACCAAAGAAGCCCCAGATAACTATATTAACCAAAATCTAGATCATATGGGGTGATTTATTCACATTCCATTTTACTGTCAAAATATTTTCAAAGCAACATCTCTGACTGACTGACTGACTGCAGACTTTGTATGACTGTAAAGATTCACATTATATATTAATTTAACATAGCTATAATTTACGGAACTCTGATTTTAAGTTCTATTTGTCAAAACCAAAAACCAAAATATTTCTACTATCTTGTTCACATTTGTCATATATACTTTTAATTCTGTCTAAACGCCACCTTAGAAATCATTAACTGAAGAGGTTAGTGTGGGTAAATGAAGTTTTAATAAATTAATAATAAATAAATGCAGCTCAAACGTCAATGAAAATGTGCTCATTTACACAAACTTTAATCGCCCGCAAGTCTCCCCTTCACCCGATTTCCCTATCCCACCTTTCCCTTTTAGCGTAAGGCGGGAGAAATGTGTGCTTGCAGGCATTCCAGTTAGGACTTTTACATAAACAGTGTACAAAGACAAAGATGTCTTTCAACTAAGCGAAACCCTGAAGAAAAATGTTCCTATCACGTTGCCCTTGGCTCTTATATTGTCTCAGGATGCATTGCGTGTGATAACTGCGCTACTAATTAAGATACACGGAGGGCACCCAACATAAAATTGAATAATAACAATGGAAATAAATTAATGCACTGTGATGACAGCATGTTTTCCTGGTTTGTTCATGAAGTCATATAGATTAAATATCTTTCGCAGTTTTATATTACCACAGGACGTGACGTGCATTCCCATGAGGCCACAGGAGTGCAAAGAGATGATGACTCTATACACGCTCCTGCTGTTGGGAAAACCTTATTTTAATGCACTTTGATGACATCATGAAGGAACCGATTATGGTATACTATGCGGAAATTCTGTTCCATTTCAAGTTCTGACGTGTATAGAACTCCAATCCTTGAAATTCAGCCTTGGTCAATTTTGATGATAGTTAATGAGTTGCAACTCTCGCTCGTGTTTGGTCCTCTACGACCTACATATCTCCTCTTTTGTCACCTTTTCTTCTAATCGCTCATCTCGCACCCGTTCAAGCAAGGACAACTTGCTTCAAGTCAATCTGTGCAAAACCTCTCTTTTTAGAAACTCTTTTTTTAACCGAATTGTCTTTCTATGGAACAACCTCTCTCCGATCATTCGAATCAGTTCGTCTGTTTCATCCTTTAAGCTCCAGCTCCATTCTCACTACTCTTCTCAATTAGACTCTTCTTTCGATGTTAACAGAATGCGCACTTGGAAAGCCTACTGCTCTAAATGCCATTCTTTCAACTTAAGCTGTTGCTCATAATCTAAACTATTAATTTTTATATAGCTATGTAAATAGTGTTCTAGTCGTTGTCTTTAATTTAATGTTTGTCTACTTGTTGTTTTGTATCAAGTTGATCTTCACATGGAACTCATGTCCTGTTGACCATACCTTCAATAATTGTTATATATTTTATAGCACTTTTGTATCATTTTACAGTTAATAAATAAATAAACTATTGCTTAAGTTATTGTACTGTGAAAGTGATATTCGACTGAAGATAATAACGGTAGACGATGCTATATATAGTCGAATTGGCAAGCTGAAAAAGCTGCCTGATCGCGGCCTTTGGTTTGCTAGTCCAATGCTCTGCCAACTGAGTTGCGAGGTCAAGTCGGTTGGAGTTGGTGATCTTTCGGAACTAACTCTGTAAATGCCGTTCTTTCAACTTAAGCTGTTGCTCATTATCTAACCTATTAATTTTTATATAGCTATGTAAATAGTGTTCTAGTCCTTGTCTTTAATGTATGTCTACTTATTGTATTGTATCAGGTTGGTCTTCACATGGGACTCATGACCTGTTGACCATACCTTCAATCATTGTTATAATTTTTTGTATGATTGTAAAGTTAATAAATAAATCGATTCTCACGCCCTCTCATCCTCGCTCTCATCAACTTTGAATTGTTTCAAATTTTGATAACAGTTGATGAGAGTTTTCGCTACACGCGCGGTAATATTCACTCAACTCTCATCGACTCTCATGCAGTTCTTGTTCTCGTTTGACCGGCGCACGAGAGTTGAGAAAACTCTCAAGGAAGCTCACCAACTCCTATAAACACTTATCCTCGTTTCACCTGCACGGCTTTAGCTTGCCATTTTATAATTACTATCAACACTGAGATATTACCAGTACCAAGTAATATTTTAGAGTCTTCCTCTTAGACATAAAATTCTTAAATGTGAGCATCAGCGACGTTTGAAACGACGTTGGATGATGCGACCGTTTAGGTAACTTTTAAGTGACGTGAGCAATCATCACACTTTTAGTATATATAAAAACAAGTCGGATATTATTACTCACGGATCGAAAACTTTGCAATAATAAATATAAGTGATACCTAAACTGATATAATTACAAAATACTTATTGTAGAGTGCAACTATCAAATTTAAATTGACTCAAAAGCGTAATGAAGGCCTATTTTTCACTTTCATAACCTGGGCCAAGCTATTAACCATAGCCTTTCATGTAGGGCTGATTTGAAATGTTCCTTGCCAATTTGTAACACTTGACTTTATGTTCATAATGTTGTTTAACATTTCCTGCTTTCGAAAATAACAATAATTATTTCTATGGGTTATTGCACCGAGAGGAAATAGAACTGCCATCGGGGTGTTCCCTCATAAGTGCTTAAATTACTGCCCTCGAAATTACTGCTTAATGACCCACACAATACTTGAATATTTCCTATGGGTGAAACTTACTGGCGCCTTATGCAATACGGGAGTACTACCTGACGCCAACGTCGGAAAATAAGCGATTTGCAAACATAAACTTGATGTCTTATGTCACAACAGGATATGAAAACAAAAGGTCTTGTTTCCTTGCCATGTTGTCCTATTATTAACCATACCTGATCAAATTAACGGTCGGCTTGTGATAGAAATGTTTTATGGTCAACATTACCAAAGTTTAAATCGTTGTCATTGATTGTAGTTTTGTAGAATTTGTACAAGTTAAGCTCCCCCCCCCCGACCCCCCCACCCCCACCCCTCGCGTTCTGGGCGAAACATGGAAAGTCGATGTTTTAATTTGCCCTTCGCCTCAAATTTTCGCCTACTTATAACTGACAAATTATGTCAACATAAAAGCGAGTTGACCCAGTTCCCTCTATAATATATATATATAAATAGCTGAGTGGCAGATGATATAACACTGACGTCAGATGACGTAGGTAATTTCTTATACTGGTCACTACAACATCTGAAATCGGCCCCACAAATCACAGTATGTTAAGTTTCCTTGATTGTACGTGTCTTATATTTGATTTGTCAGCCCAGCAGTATAAAGGCGGTCCCACACAGCAGGTTAAGATATAACAGTGAAAAGCAAACCTAATCCAGCCAACATTACCAAACAGTATTACTGGTTGGGTCAAAGTTTCCTAAAAACCTCGGAATGAAGTAAAATAGTATGGTTTAAATAAACCATACTGTTTAAATAAACCATACTAATGTTACTTTCTTCGTTACTACCTTCAATCATGTGAAAATGAAGTGGCTTTGACTTATTTCTTATTCGTGGCATACTTCTATATTAAATCTCTGCTCAGAAATTTTGGGTGTGCAGTGAACATAGTGATTATACTGTACATGCAGTAGTGCCAGTTTTACGTTTGGATTTTAGGTAGTTTGAATGGGTGTCCAGTTTAGGTAGTATATAATATCTTGACGTAGTTAGTTGCTAAGCTGCCTGAAAAAGGCTAAGTGTAGAGAAGTGTTCTTAATCTTTTTCAGGTAGTCCAGAAACAGCAATGGTTTTAGGTCAACTTCGGTGACCCCTTATTGGCTTCTCCAAATGAGAGTTTAGTTTCCCGTCCGGGCTATCTCCATGAATACATGCTGGTGGGCGGTTCGCTATTACTATTTATTATCGAAAATACAAAAAATAGTGCTTTACTTTTGCCATCATCTGAACTCAGGATAGGTGAATGAAAAAAAAGTATTCACTATACAATTATATAAATAGTCATCAGTGTTTCAGAACATTGCAAGGCAAAGAATGGACAAAATTTCATGAACAATTCACACCCTCCCATAATATTTATAGTTTCCATATTCCAAAGTTCAGCATTTAATATCAATAACGGTTGTACATCTTTTCTTGTACAATCCCAAAAAAAAGAGTACGAAAGAACTGATAAAAGGTGTATATTCCACCAAAAAGTACAACATATTTTGGAAGTTAATGAGAATTCACCCTGAAAGGGAAAATTATTGCATGCTAATAACATTCACTCCAATTATATTTGCCAGCTTCGACAGCACTTTCCTTATGTATGTATGTGTAAAATATGCGGGACAAGTTCTCAATTTTACTTGCCAGAAATGCGTCGCAAGTTGTAGCAAAAATTGCCACGTGCAAGTAGCAACGTTCTCATTTAATGCGTTAATAAGTATAATGCATGTGTGTTTTACAGCACATGCAGGTGGTCCATTCTAAAAGGAAAAAGCACTTGACAGACAGAGTGACTAAATTGTCCACTATATTTATTGTCTTTGTGTTTTGGTGGCGAATACATGTGATGCAAACATCTCGCTCGATTCCACAAATGTCAAACTCGCTCCCACAAATGTCAATACTTTTGAAGATAACTATCAAAAACCATCCTATTAATAGAAATGTTACCTCTGGCTCTGCCTTCCTATTTGCAATTCAGACAGGACCTACAAAGTCTTTCATGAGAGCGGGCACGTTTATAGTACCCCCATGTGACATTCCATTACATTACACTCACAATTAATCATCTTAGACGCGTGTGTGCGTCATTAAGACTGGGCAAAATCTTAAGCTTGGCACATAAAGACTTTCACAAAATATTTTCTTTGGAATTAATGCAAAAGACTTAAGATAAAAAACAACATCGATATTTGACGTTTTGTAAAAATATTGGACATATTAAAACAATAAATAGTAAACAATGGTATACTGAAATAGGAATAATATAGAAGAGATATGCGTATGTGCATGCCCTTCTTTCCATATTTAATTCCATGATATGTACATTTTCTCATTTCCATACAGTTACACGGTGTGTAATATATACAAGCATTTCTGACATGCTAGTGTAATTAGAGTACGATAACGTTGAAAGAAGAGACCCAGATGTATATGGGGTATCAGTGCCATGTAAACGTGACAGGACATAAAATTTGGCATTGTAATGGGAACACCTAATACCACATCAGAACGTAACGGACATGACTTGGGATGGTGTGGACTGTGGTAGATTATGATTAAATTATATGCACCACAAAATAGGAACAAAGTTCCATTTAAAGAAAATTTGTGGTAGAGAAAATATGTATTCCTCTTCTGTTTATAGCATAACTATAGGCCAAAAAGTGTTGTGTTGAATATGTTATGTGTGTGCAGTAATTGTTGAATTGTGTACGCAGAGGACGTGAATCGCAGAGTGTGTTAAAGTGAATGAATAAAACAAAACAATTATTTCTAATTACAAACAAATGTCAAATATATTGTTAAGTTTGACGAGTCTGTACCAGAAAGACCGATATCGTAAACAATTTTTTCGAGAATGACTCGAAAATCCTCGTACAATTCCTCAAAAATAAAAAATCCATAAAAAAATCCAGATATCTTGCCAAAATTTCTCGGAAAATTCCAATAAAACCCTTAAAATTGTCATAAAATTTCTGAAAATCCCCATGCAAATCTCTTCCGAAACCCAAAAAATTCCTCTCAAAATCCCCATGCAGAAATGTAATAAAAATCTCTAAAATCGAACCAAAATATCCAGAAAACGTCAGAAAAAATCCCAAAACCTCTGGATATATTGCGGCAAAGATTTTGAAATCACGAAAATTCTCATGTTTTTCTGAATACACCCTCGATTTTTCGTGTGTTAACAGAAGAAAGCTCAAAATAAACACAGATGACGTACACCAAAGTACTGCCAAGGTGCTAATGATTACTATTTGCTATGGGGTAATGATTATTATTACTGAACTCGTTAATTTCCTGTACTATTATAGCACTCGTTGTTGTTGACATATATTATGCTGAAAGAACAATTTGATTTTAACTGGGGTTATTACAAGGACTGTATATACTGTATATATATATCTATATACTAGTAGGTAGCAGATAGCCACATTGATTTCTATATAGCTATGTAACAAAGTCTAGTTTTCACTATTCTCGTACACTTTCATTATTCTCGTACCTAAATTTCCTGGATTTTACGCAGGCATTAAAAAGCCAAGATTCGCTTCCATCCATGAGTTATATGCAGTTAGTGAAAAAGTTAACCAAACAGAATCGCGTATTTGACAGTAGTCTCAGAATTGAGCATTCATTGAAGTTTCAGAAATATAGGAATATATAGTCTGAGATTATAGTCTGACAATGTATAGTCTATACAGTGCCAGTGGCATAAAAAGTAGTCAATCAATCAATCAAAATCGCGTATTTTAAGGAATATGGTGTGAGAATTCAGTGAAACTGGATATTATCAATCTATAGAAGGATTGTTCAACATGTATAAACATGTCACGAACATGTTACCGGCGCGTCCTTGACACCGAACAATTCACAAATTTGAAAACAATTCACGTATAAAGTCTCGGTCAAACGAGGATGAGAGTTGCAACTCTTCCTCCTGTTTGAGCGCCAACTCTCATTGACTCTAATGCGCTCTCATAACTTTGAGCTGCTCCAAATCAACTCTCATAACTATGATTGTTCTCATTTGACTGACATGCACGACAAACTTTCGCATGCCTATTCTAATCATCCTCGTTTGAGCTGGGCTTGAATCCAATTCCGCCATTCTTCATGGCGCGCCCTTTTTCAAAAGTCCATGAAGTCACGAGTCAACTAGTTTTGCTGCAACTTGTAATACCATGAAGAGCAATAGGCATCAAGGTCAGAATCTCGTGTTTCATCTTACTGATTTTTTCCCCAATCATTTATCTGTCGCCTCTAGGGTTTAAACTTTTCCTTATATAAAACATATAAAAAAATTTAGCTAGAAGTGTACTTGTCTATGAGAAAGTCCAATTAATGGAAGAGAAATGCTTATACAAAAGCCGAATTAATGGAAGAAGAATAGTTAAAAATATTAGCTAATGTTGATTTTGTTATTGTTTTTAAAAGATACAACGTGTTGTTTTAAACACATTAGTTAACAAATGTGTTGTTTTAAACACATTAGTTAAAGAGAGATTTGTTGGCAATTTGATAAAGCACTTTTGGAAATTTTAAGCCGTTTGGCATGGTGGCATAAAACGTGCGTAAGACCTTGAGCTTCTCACTCGGGAAGAAACACAACCGCAATAATAGCTTAGTGCGTCAAGCTAGCGTCATTGGACAACAAGCGGAAATGATTTGTGTATTGTTTAACACACCACCCAGCATTTTGTAGGCTCCACCTCCCAACACAAACAATATTGATTAAACGAGAAACAAGAGTAATAAACGTATAACCATAATGCAAAGGTATTAGCCTGTATTTACACATACTTAATTATGGATATATCCACACATACTTGGCACGATTTTCTATGTTTGCACACAAAACACACACAAGCGTAATTGAACGTTTGCGATCTATGTAGTTTAAAACAATATTTTACGCAAAATCTGTAGTCAATAGGGCGGTAAATTTAGCACAGTACGATAGAAGCGTCCTTCGATGTTTCCACTGCAAGTTGCAACGCAATTTCGAAAACAGATCATATTTATGTAAATGTGTTATTCAGAGGGAACATGGCTTTCACTATTTAATAAAAACGGTAACAAAATTACACGAAATTGCACACAACACCTGTGAATTTGAATCAATTGGGCAAAACATACAGAAAAACACGCAATTGGAACGCAGGTCGCATCTTTTTATACGCGTTACATATTTGCAGTAAAAGTGAGTCGTAAGTCGACATCGCGTGTGGAACTGTACATTTAATTTGGACCGATTTGTACTTGAAATTGTGCAGTTAACTGCATCTCGTGTGATCTTGTACAATTGTACAACAAATAAACGCCGTGGAAGGTCTTGAATACATGTGCTTTCGCGAAACTTCCCAATCTCAATGACAGGATATCGATTATAATTTGAAAATCGTTCTTCTGTCTAGTGGCGTGCTGTGCTACATTTGACGCGACGCGGGGTCCACATGTTACATATAGCATAACGCGATCAATAATTATACTTCTTGTAAAAAAAACAATTGCCAAAACTCTCCTTTCATATAGGCGTTATAAAAAACCATTTCACATTAATTCGGAGACTGCAGAGAACAACGAGAAATTCAGTTGGTGTAACAGTGGTAAATATAGAAACCCGAATTCCGCTAGCTGGAGACAATAAATTGTTCGTTATTCTTTTCAGCGTACGATTTAATTTATCTATAAGTGGGTATTTCATATCTCTGAGGAAGATTTTGTAACAGATTTGAGTGTTACTTTACCACGCATTGTCCCAGACACCAGATGGGAGTTTGAACGTAAAATGAAAAGCTTTTGACCTCTAAGGATACTATGCCATGCATGCACTGATTTTGGCAGTATTCAATGCGACATGGCCGTGAACTGACTAGCCATTTTATCAAATTACGACGAGAACAAGTGGGTTAAAATTATCTTAAAATGGAGCTCAGTTCGACCATTGTTTTACATTGTGTACACTTTGCTGTGGGCGTAACGGCCAAGGCTATGGACAAGAAAGCATTTTAGATTAGCAATCTGCATGATAGGTCATAAATACGAGCTATACTGCTGCGTTGTCTCGCATTTGAATTAAATCGTATAGAATCCTGCCGTTCTTCGATCGAACGACATCGTGGCTAACTGTGCTTTATGAATGCGCTGCCTCAAAGTGTTCACCATGTAGTGTTGTCCTAACATAGATTGATATTTCATCATACAGCGCTGGCTCGACGCCCTCTGTTTTGTTTTTCACTCTCGTTTAAAGAGCAAATAATCTTTCTGTTGGACGGCGTGTTTTAAAAACAAACCTATAATTATTAAGGTCAACCTAATTTATCATCCATGTCGCCTTTTGACCTTTCTGTATTATACATGTCGCTTTCAGTTACGTTGCAACTTTAACAATTCTTCGTGGAATGCTATATACACAAAGGCTTGAATAATTCTTGCTATTGTGATAATTCCTATGCAACGCTTTTGTAATACACTAGTTTTACTCTAATGCACTAGTTTTACTTTTTTGAATATGTATACACACTCCGCTCTGCTTACATGCAGTATAAACTACGTTTTTCCGTATTTTCCAATAAATTCAAAGTACATACTAAAAATTTCTCAAGCATATATTATTATGTGAAGTATTCCATATGACAGCCCTCCACTAAAATATATTATACTAAAATATTTTATATTCCCTATACGCTAAAATATTTCATATTTGAGAACACTTTATGAAGGTTTCACTCTTACTGAATAATGGGGTTTTTTTTCACCAACACACGTATGAAAAATATTTTCTTTAGATTACATCGTTGAAAATAAATCTTGAAACACAGAGAGAACTAAGACCAAAGGGATCTTAAATTCCATATATCGTGCTTTACCACTATGTTCAAATATCGCCCTGGTTTCTGCGGCGTAGAGATTTGTCTTAATGTCGAAGCTTATGTTCTATAGCTACTTATAAAAGAGCCGGCCACGCTGGCTACTTATGTTCTGCAGACCACAGCACACAATACATCATTCTTTGACTCGTTTTCTTTTTTTGAAATTTTGCCTTTCCCTATGCTTGTGATACTAATCTTAAATGTTTGAACTATGCTTAAACCTAATATCAGACCTCGCTATGAGCAAACTACAAAAATATTTAACTCACTAGCAATATATGAACATGGATATCTCCACCCCCTGAATACAAGTGTGTGTATATACACAACTCACAAGACACGAGTCATGTTTTGCCCAAGTGTAACCCTAAGTTGATATTAATTACCGAAAAACCTATAAACATAATAGTTTACGACCTCACGGACAGTAAAACAACCCGGCGAAATAAAGTTACACGTATTGATTCGTGGTCATAAGAAGGCCGCATATGTTCTCAAAACAATCTCTGAATGTTGACCACAGCTTGCGGTTCCGTCCGCTCGTCCCAATCTCTTTCCTCATTTCCTCCGCACAATGGCGGCCGACAAAACCGAAATTTCCGGGTTGCCTGTGCCGAAAATATGGAGTTTGCGTGGAGATTGACCGAGTAGGGTAAGTGGTGTTCGAAAACAGCTAGAACAAACACTTGAAAGGAAACATTATTGATTGGCAGGATTCCTGACATAAATTTAGGCTAACATTTTTACCGCAACAAAAATTAGAAATCTGGATTATCAATCTTGCTTTATACGCGCACAGAAAAGCCTAATTAAAATGTTTCGGCTACGCAATTTTCGAGTCGTTTTACATTAGTAGCTGTTTCATAACCTCTCCATAAAAACAGAATCGAATTTGGTCTTTTTAAACGGATTTTACAGCCTCCCAAAGTTGTGTTTTTGCCACTTCCTGTTATAAGACATGTGACACATTCTGCAAAACACTTGAAACATTATTCAACTTTTTTTTTATATCCCTTAATTAACTTCAGTCTCCAACGATGTATAATATAAGTTGTACTAAAGAGCCATGTTATTCATGGGCGATGTCGGTACAGGACATTACTTTATTTTATCAATTAAACTCTCTCCCAAGCTTAAAGTTAGTTATTTTTAAAAACATCAATCGAAAAAGTGCTTCGTCATTGTCAGTGTTTTATATTTATAGCGGTCTATATTGCGTTCAGATCCTGTTGCCCCCACTAGATTCACTTATATGAATTTACCCACACTGTGCCGAGTGCTTTGCCCCCATGAGTGCTTTTCCATTAAGTGAATCTTCGGTATAAGTCCATTAAGTGAATCTTCGGTATAAGTATCTAAATCTCAGTAAATATACCAATGCAAAACATTTAGAATGGAAGAAGTATAATATGCAATATATTTGTATAGGTAATAGTATGGTTTTGAGTGCAACTTTGGAAAAATATGCACAAGTGCATGGTTTTTTTTAAAGATGATTATACTTATCTTACTTACTAATATATAGTAATCAATATGCAGTAAAACATTACGTATAGAAGTGAATTCATGCATGGTGACTTGCATTCACACACATGCGAAATCATTTTCTCACTCGTTTGAATGGTACAACAACTTAATATAAATAACAAGTTTTCAACTGTCAAAAGTTAAAACTTTATTCAAAAAAATGTCTTTTTCCTAGGCTCTTGCCACGTATATTTACTGACTTCTTTTTTTGGCGTGTAAAATTGCAGGCTCTTGGCACTTTTCATATGCGTGTAATATTAATGGAGTTATATATAGCCGCACGTTGTAACTATAAACACAATTAAAATAGTAAGACGTGCATGCCTAAAGGAGTCGAACAAGTTAAAGCGGGATAACACAATTACAGTAATTACTATATTTGTAATTATCCAACTTTGTCTTTGACTTCGATAATTTAATATGCACTGAAAGATTTTAATTAATAACATTGAAAATAATTATAGTTCGGTCGTCGACTTCGTTTACATTTTTTATATTCCCATGTCAAATTTTCAGCTATATACCTTAATTTTTAGACTTTTAGACTAAAGTTTGACAAATTGATATCTCTTAAACTATGAACTGTAACAAATTTGTACATATAGTTCGTGCTCAAAATTGCAAACGTGACCTTGCCCTTAGGCTTGCCACATTCATATATACAAACGATGTATACATAATTAATTCTACACATGTTAAAGTGTTTATTTATTTTGTGGCCAATTATATAATTCTCTACATTCAAGCCTCTCATTTTATGAAATTGTGAATATGAAATAAAGTTTTAAGATATGGTTATTGCTTCACCACAGGTGGTGCAAGCATAATAGTTTTGAATCTGCCAAAAATATACTATTTCATTTTACGATTCTTAATTCTTCCTGAAACACATGGTCATTAACCTATAATTCGCTCTTAGAAAATGCAAGATTATTAAGCAATATAAATAATTATGCATTAATTATTTCCCAAAATAATTTTAATAGCCACATTATAAATCGTTATAACTTCCTTGAAAAAATGACCACCAAATGGCAAAAATGGAAATCTCACATGAACAGCACTGAATTTCACTTACAGTAATATATATGATATATTACTGAATTTCACTTACAGTAATATATATATATATATATATATATATATATATATATATATATATATATATATATATATATATATATATATATATATATATATATATATATATATATATATATATATATATTAATTTGACAGGTTAACCCTACAGAGCTTATTGCTCCATTTACAGGGTCCCTATATATAGTTTTAATAAGTTTATAGGTTTTTTATATATTATATTTTCATATAATAAGTTTTCATTATACTCAAAAACATTATTTATATTTTTGGTTTGTTCACCCTAAATACATTGTAATTAGAAAGATAAGCTTTTCTAAAAGATAAGATTAAACAAAAAGAAGAACTTCTCTGTTGTTTTTGGCAAAGCCATGCACGCGTGCTTTTTCAATATTGTTTACATGGTGTTGACAAATATTCCTCTCTTCACAAATTATTCTTTACTTGTTTTTGATCCAAGCACATTGAAATTAGAAGAAAAACTATCATTTTTCCCAGTATATATTCAAGATTATGCAACAAAAAAATTCAAATTTCTAAAGGCCACGTTAGACTGGAAAATTTTTGCTGCATCTTGCAAAGCTATTTCGAATACAGGACCATGTTATCAAAAAAAGTAGTCACATATTGAAATTGTGATCATGGTCTACTTTGCCAACATTTTCTTTGCATAAAGCGCTCTTAAAGGATGAAAAATGAAAGAAATGGAACTAAATTACCATGTATGGCCATGCTCACAATTTCTTGCCACTAATCTAACTTATACAGTAAAACAATCGAATTGATGTATAAAAGAATCCTCTTATGACCAACTGTATCTCTAACAAACTAACAGAGAACCATAGTAAAAACTACAAGATAGAATAAAAGCTGTAAATAAATATGTTATAAATTTATTATCAACAAAGGCAGAGCATTCAGCATTATTAATTATGTTTATAAAGATGTTATCCTCAAACACAATATTTCATCTTCATTCTTTGCTTTAGTGTGACAACACAAAAGATCGCATCGCAAAACACTCGAATATCATAAAACAGGAAGAATATAGGTCCACCTGTTTCAAAATGTGAACGCATAATAATGTACAATATTTAAAAGCTACATGCGAATTGAGTGCGTCGAATCTAGAGTAAAATGCATCGACAACTAGAGCGCATGCCTCGAAAGCTTTGCAAAACAACTGAAGTGTTGTGTTTTCCACAAAAACAAAACAATTTATTATTTGTTGCCTCTGTACAAAACCTACATTGCTAAAAGAAACATGTAAGGTGTGACATGTTCTAGTTGGGAAATTGCCTGAAAAATAAACCTTCAAACACGAAGTACCAAAAACAGCCTTTGTGTCGAAAAAAGGAAGATTCATTCAACAACTAGTTTAATATATACCGGCGGAAGTCTGAAAATACAATTTAAGTATCTGGCACGAAACTGTTCGCTTTTCACTGCATCTGTGGAAATGATGGAACTTTTTTCTCGCTTTTTTAGTATGTTTTTTAATATGTTTCTACATCCAATTATTATATTAACAATGATAAACTCGTGTCACATGCAGAATGTATATACTGATTAATAAAACAATAATATATTAGAATTTCAGGGAAGCAAAATGACAAATATTTTTCGAGAGTTGGTGTCCTTGTTCATCATGTTATTTACAATTATAAGTCCCAAAGCCTGCTTTTTCTGCATGTTTGGCAATTTACTTTACATGTTTTATTTGAACGAAACACTTGTAAACAACACTGTCAAACTATAATTTGTGGTTTTGAATAAAAGTATATACATGTAAACAAATATCACAAAAAAAGCCCTCGAGGGGGAATGTGCGAAGCAAGGCGACTCATGAAGAGCTTGGAACAGCCTTTAAAGTGCAATGTATTTATAAACCACGCGCGTACGTGATACACCGCGCTTGTTTTTTATTAACCGATGTTTACATTTAAATTTGCTTGTAAATTCAACAAATAAAACCCACGAGATATCGCGATCTGATTACAAAAATCAAGAAAGGTTTTTGTTTCACTACACCACAAGGAAGGCTGCGAAAACGAATCTGCGTAGATCTCGATGGAGAATTTATAGAAAATTTCCAACAACGTAAAAAAGTGCCATTTTGACAATCTCTAGACCTGTCCATATTGTACACAATTGCCATTAATATTTGGCTTAGTATTAAAGTACAAGTCGTTAAAATATCCTTTGCTGTTCATATCATCATCAAAATAATAAATGTTGGAATGCATTTTTGTCTTCTTTGCTTTACTTCGGAATGTTTTAGACTCCAAGTTTTGGGTAATTCGCTTTAAATATAACGCATATAAACATGTAAAAGCAACGTATTTTCGCCGTTGAGAGAAATTTTTGGGCATTATTCTTTCGCTATTATAATATAATAGGAAAGACCCTTTGTATAATATTGCATAAACGATCTTAAGTGGCAAAGTATTTGCTTTGAATATGAAGCTAAACGCTGTAATATCTTAAAACACGGCACTATTGCAAGAGTTGTCAATTTCGCGGGGAATGCTTGCAACATGAAATGTACCAAACGTGGGAACTTTCCACTCGTGGGAAATCGAACGAATTCGATTGTAATTGCTACATTTGAAAGTCACTTTAATAAACATACATCAAAGGTCGCTAGGGCCAGAAACACAAAGCAATTTGTAGCAATTATGGTGATTTAAGATCGCAAAGAAAGTCATGTCATGGCCCTGCGTGTGAGATCCGCATTACAGCGGAAAGATACGAGCTGATATTTTTAAAAACTCTCTGTAATTGGTTGGGGGCAAAGCAGTAATTTCTAGTGACTGTGACCCCAGAGGATCAGATAACGTTAGGGATTAAGGAAGATCAAGCTTTATCCGTCATTTTTGACATAAATCTGGCTAGTGTTCTCCTGCCCTGATCTCATTTGGTCCCAAAAACTGTCCAACGCGTTGTTTTTCTTACAGGCACAAATTGTCTGATATATTAATCCGATAAAGCATCAGCCATCAGGCTGGATTACTGGCTAAGGAATGAACTCAAGTGTCAGATTTGAGATAAACTCCAGAAGTACTCTCTGACGAAATTGCGAAGGCTACGAGCCAAAAAGATTAAGGAATCTTAGCCACGCAACGCAACTGTTCCCCGTTTTTACAGAAAACACTTCGCCTAACATACTCGCGAATATATTTGTATTTTAACTGATGTATTTAGAAGGGTTAGACTCTCTAGAAAGGTCCAATGAAACTGTATTTAGTTCAAATAACAAGCCGACAGGAAACTAAAGAATTTTTGTCACCCTTTTAAACCCATGACTGAAAGGAACAAGCTCGCACTTTAGATACATTTTGGAACGATTGTTCGAAGTTCGATTCACAGAAAGTAGCAATTATTTGGGCTTTGTTTCATATTTTCACAACCACAATATTGGCCTATAATATCACAATCCAAGTTCGTAATGCCCACATGCACAATTTGCCAGAAGCGTGGAATGAGCTTAATGCATAGTTTAGCAATGATTTCGAATAGCATAGCAATGCGTCTCATGTATGTGTTGTGCGCGAAAACATACATATGTATTTGATTGCTCGTACACAAACATTGATATAATTTCAAATTTCAAAAACTCAATTTAAAATCTTGCTCACAGAATAGCATTTAAATGTGAGGCTTAAACAGCAAACAGGTATAGAATGGCTACAAACCATACATAATGTGATTCCTGCCCGGTTTACACATAAATCAGCGACTCGATACAGGGAATGACAGAAATTTCAGTCTTCTGTACACATAAAAACCAATTCATATTCCTTGTTCATAGAATAACTATGAGAATCGAGAGGCTATAACATGCAAATCATACGCATAAATCATACATGTATATACTATTCCCAAGAGGTTTAAAACATGGACTCGCTAAAAGGGATGAAACATATTTTCAACTTACGTATAAAATTCAATTCAAATTTCTTGCTCATCACAACACCCGCAGTGTTTCTGGCCATACATCGAAATATGCCAACACGATGAACTGCTGGCGACCCCGAACGCTGAACTCCGTGAATGAACCATAACCCTTTAGCTGTTGTTTTGATTACAACACGCGAATTCAAAACAGTTTCATTTCTCCAAAATGTTTTCAAAGGCCCGTTGTTGCCAGCCGCTTCACAAGGCACAAGAAATGAGCTATTATTGTTCTGAATATAATAAACTGTAGCGTTTGGTTCATTCGTAAACTTTAGCATATCAGCCCGTATTGGGGGCTCCATACCTAGTTAAAAACACATATACAAGTTAAGAAATAACTATAACATATAGGGGTACCGTTCTTATAGTTATTGTTGGAAAACATATTTTGATCTTACTTCCGAAAACGATTTTGTTGACGATATCAGTCAAATCCTTGTGATGTCGTACAACACTTTGTAAAGCCATCCAAATCGCTTAAAATCATTTTATCAGCTAAACAAAGTATCATTAGGACATTTCCTTACTAAATACTATCTTTACAACGTCTTGTGACGTTTCGTTGTACGTAAATATGTGTTGGTTGTTTCAAATTGTTGACTCAAAAAACGACATAAACAACATTAGTCGAGCATAAAGATTTGCGAACATTTAAAACAATAACATGACATGAACCGAAATAATGTCACGCTCTCATGTTGCCGCGAAATCATTGTATGTCTAAATCACGCAATTTAACAAGTCCTCACTAAAGCATTTCTCATATTCTCTCTTAGCTAATACCCAAAACCATTACTTTTCTATGCCGTACATAACTTCTGTCAAATGCAACGATTTATAGCGTATTCAAGCACACAATATACCGTGTTTTACCGACTTAACTATGCACGGCTTACAATGTAAACATACAATATACTCACTAACACAGATCCCTAAATTATCGAACCCCGAAAGGTCACCGAGGTTCGATCCGTAGTTCATAGAAGGCAAATTTTGTTCGATTTAGTGTGCATTTTACGAGAAGGAAGTTTTTAATCGAGTACAAACAGAGGTGGTTCGCGAAAGGGATAAAATTTACCCCCAACACAATGCTTTGCTTGCGGTTTGACGAGAGGTATTGATTCCCGATCGATACAAATCATGTACATCGCTGTATTTCATTTCGACCGAAACATACAAGCAAATACATTGCACTCCCCGCCCCTTAGAGCCGTACAATGTTGCAAAGATTCCCTTGGGTATTGTAGAATCGCCAACGAAGCGGCAGAGCTTGGAATTCGCACTTGAAACATTGTAAAATTCTCACAGTGTGCGAAGCATATTTATAACTTACCTTTCATTAGTGCTGTGAACGAAGCAAGCATATAAAGGAGCTGTCGAACAGCCAAACATGTCCATTGCATGTTATCTATTGTTAAGGTAGAATACTCAAACGCTCTCTGTAAACGCGGTAAAACATCAACGATTCCTCGACTCACACTAAAACCTCTCTTTGCACTGCCATTCCTAAATGTTGATTTCGAGTGATGAAAGATAATATGAAGACATGTAAACTCGAGTCCCGCTTAGCCAATCAGCGAAGCAAATTCCTCCCACATGAAGCCGCCAGCCAATCAGAGCGCTCTGTTTCCTACCGAGAGTATTCAAGAGCTTGTGCGTAATCAATGGCTGACAAGAGGAAAGCTCTATGCCTCTCAGAACAACAACCGCCTCACAGAGCTACACGCTGTGACAAACCTAAAATAAAACAAAACTCACAAAGCGCTGGGATTATCCAACAGCTTAGAATTCCCTCATTTATTAAACCTTTACAAAAACACAACTCGTAACTAAGCCGCATTCACACTTGGCGATATACCCTGAGGACGGAAATGAAGGAGAATTTATCATCTACCCCCGGAAATGTTCATGTTGAAATAGTTGGCAAAAACATGATCATAGAACGGAAACCCTTAGGCGATCGATACCTTAATTATGGCTTACTCACATACACAGGGGGGTCATACGGTTTCAATAATAGCAAACTAGCATGACTTTACAGGAGATTTAATGAAATGTTAAAAAGAAACTTGGGTATATGAAAACACGCTCTAATCTCTGTTATGTTCGCAATTAAAAGAACTGAGTAAAAAGTCGGAATACCAGCTTGATTGAATTTTATTTCCTGTTTTTTACGAGCTTTTTAGCATATACTATTCAAAGAATGTTTTTACACACTCTATTATACCAGTTTTAACTTTGTGTCATTCTGAGCTTATTTATTGCATTCTATCAGTACGTTACTGTTAATAAACGAATATATTATACACTACCGGTTAAATAAGTGCCGTTTTCGCTTACGATGAATGTGCGATAATATAGGCTGGCCAAAATTTTCACCCGGTTTAATATATACAGTAGCGTAAGCCGGCAACCGGCTATATATTAAGTACAAAGAGGCATATACACTATAATTAATTGATACATTATAATTACGGCTTCTCGTGACATATGTAGGCTGTAGCCTAATGAAAATTTGAATATATCTATTTCTAAGAAAAGAAGTTTCGAAAACCTGACAAAGTATGGCAAGATAAAATATGTTATCTAAGTGTTTACGGAAATATTGCGTGTACTAATGTCGTAAATTCATGTAATATTTAGATTAAGTGGCATTGGTTCTAAGTACATTTTCTTGTCACGCAAACATTAAAACACTCAGAAATCGCGAGTATATTTTGAGCTTGAGACAAATTAGTATTTGATATAAATGTGGTATTTGCCATCGAGCCAAAATCCTGCTGTATGCATGCGTGTGTCCTACTGCTCAGTATAAATTTGATACATAAATTGTATACCATGATGCAATGGCTGTATTGTTGTCACATTACCACATAAGACGAAGTGAGCTGAAGAACCCATTCCGACAAGCTCTTTATAATATTTATACGCGGATGGAAGTGGAATATGTTTTTTTCTTTAACATTCAATATTCCAACCTATAAAATATTCAGTAAATTCTGACCTTCGCTATATTTCAAATGTCCATATTTCTCAGAAATATTCGTGTTTTTACTGCTAGCAGACATTCCTACCATATTCTTACAAGAAATATATTCATATTCAATACTCTGTCTCAATATTCCGCTTTCATCCGATATTTAACTGAGTGAAGAGTGCTAAGCCTTAGACACTGTACAGTAGTACTGTACAGGGCTAATATGTTATTGTTCTTATAGGAATCGTAATTCCTATACGGATGAAACAGACTGTTGTGGTTTTTTGAGGTAAAACGAAAAACCATTTCACGCTCTATCTATATGGTATTGAGCACTGTTTGTGTTTCGTAAACCAAAAACTTAAGCTATATATATATATATATATATATATATATATATATATATATATATATATATATATATATATATATATTATATATATATATATATATATATATATATATATATATATATATATATATATATATATATATGGCGTTCAAAATGAAAAAAATTAAAAATAAAAAATTTAAAAAAATTTAATGTGCTGCTACTTAAGTTTCACGTATACCGATCGTATAACTTAAGTGAAACTTAAGTAGCAGCACATTAAATTTTTTTAAATTTTTTTAAATTTTTTATTTTTAATTTTTTTCATTTTGAACGCCATATTAAGCTCTGCGAATTTCCCGCATCGAGCACTGTACTCGTTTTGGCTTCAACAACCAAGCAAGTTATATATATATATATATATATATATATATATATATATATATATATATATATATATATATATATATATATATATATATATATATATATATATATATATATATATATATATAGTACTTCGGGCGGGCAAAAAGGTAAGCATATTCTCGAGCTTAGAAATCTTATATGGGTTAGTTTTGCCGATAATTTTACGGTTTTATGGCAATAAATCATACTGTAATTTTACGCTGATAATTCTATGAATTTTATTGACATGCTTTTGAGCCAATCAAATTATATAAACCTTTTACATATTTTCTGATCGAAATTTAAATTAAGTGAAAATGGGATTTTTGTGTTGGACATGAAAATAAACAACTTTAAATTGAACTAATGAAGGACGACGATGTCTAAATACGGGAAATTAGAGTCTGGCTTGCTTTGTGGAGCTATAATTGAAAGGAAGAAATAGAATAAGGAAATGTTGGTATCTAAGATTGATTTAAAACTGCCAACAATTTCACAGTTTGATTTCACCGCAGTCATTTCTCTTTATTACGTCTGTCGCTGCCAAACGGCAAATTAATTGACCTCACAAGGAGCCATGCGTGCACGCAGTCGTTTATGGTTCACATCAGTGGTGTTCAACAAGGCTCTCCACAGTGACCCTGGGTTTATGTCTGTAACCGCGGGCTTAGGGCACAAATGGATGGCCTGCATCGATCACTGCATGTACAATTGTATTGATTTGTACATTTGTCCTTTTCGTATTAGTTTCTAGTTATCTGTGCATCAATTTAATGAGGCTGTACACTGTAGAGGACCGCGAATGCTTGGGTAAAACAAGGGTTGAACACTCCAAAATCCTGCCAAAAGTTTTGAAATCCCTAGTGAAAATCCTAAATCCAAAATCTTCCCGTAAAAGCACAAAAAATCCGGCCACAAATTAGCTTGAATAAAAATCTCAAAATTTCCTGCAAAATCCATTTAATTTAAATTAATTTAAAATTTTAAAGACCTCCTGAAATTCCTAAAATCTTGCCAAGAAATCTTGTAAAATATTCCAAATTTCCTTGGTATTTTTTGCAGGGATTTTAAAATCAGATGAATGGTAACTAGTCAGAAATTCAGCCCAAAATTTGAGTTAATCAAACTTAATCAAGTACGTCGCTGCATACTTCTTCTTGTGCTGTAGCCGCAGACAGTGGCGTAACTACTATGGGCTTAGACCGGGAGAACCCGGGGGCCCCCAACCCAAATAGGGGCCCCCAGGCTTAGGCGATAGAGTAAAAACATTGGCCAGGGCCTCTCTGGTATGTTACAATGTCCTTTTCCAACCATCAGAATTCTGTAATATCTCTCCCCCAAAGTCCAGGAAATGGTATTTCAGATAGTCTAGATTCAAAAATTTTCCGGATGAGCATGCCCTCGCCCCCTAGAAAACTCGTGCACATACGGCACTCGACTCGTGCCTTTGGCACTTCTACTAGGGGGCCTTCGAAAATTTTGAACCGGGGGCCCCCTGATAAAACGTTACGCCACTGGGTAGCCGTGGTTGTTTTCGTTCTTCGTCAACTAGTCAAAATAAAAGTGGGTTACCGTTTATGCATTTATAGTTAGGTGGCTTAGCATTTTGATCCATGCAGAGCGCATGGACAAAAGCGCCAAACTTTTCTCCAACCCTCAACTGGTAACGAACATTCAATTTTTGTCCGGTGCCCAAAATCTCATCACTTAATAGAATCTATTTTTGGAATTATGTTTCGCCCCTCGATATGACTGATCGTGGAGAGAATTCCGAGATAATGTTACTGCGCATGCATGATATTGTATGCGCATTGTGGATTTTCCCATGTTTCTGCAAGCTATATAATTCCTTTACCATTCAACGTATAATGTCGTGTAATAGCTCATTTTACTCTATTTTGCCCTTACTTTTGATCCGTTTCCCCCTAACTTTATTACAAAAGTTTGACATTTTTTATAAGGAAATATGAAGGAAAAACATGAAAATCCCTCCCCCCCGGAAATTAATGAAATTTGAACACTGATCATAAATTGAAAGTAGTTGAAGCTCTGAGAAAAGTGTGGCGCTTTGTATATAGATCTTTCTATTGTTTGCGCTAGGCAACTGACCTGATCTAGACGTACATCTGTTGAATCCCCCCCCCCCCCCCCGAAGCTTCTAGCTTTTTGTTTCTTTATGTTTAAAAATTACTTTTCTACGTATACCCGAACGTTGCTCAAACAGCATGACCTTCGTTTAATTAATCTTCTAATTCTTCTAACATTAATGCTCTTAGTTACAGTGTAAACTGACTGAAATTAATGATCATCTAATTTTACTAAATCTATTTATACAACCACCTTTTACAGCTTAATCGTAATTACTGATGACGCAAATGATATGGGTTTATGCAAGCTTAAATTATATCATTCTTCTGATTCTCCGGCTTAGAGAGATCTTTTTAAATCCAATAATTGTTTCAATACTTGGTGGCCGGTTCACTGGTAGCGTTACAGGGCAGCAGATGATGTTCGCTTCTAAAGTGTTGCAATTACTACTAAGAAGAAGCAAATTGAACTACATCAATCTCGAAACTAAACTGTACAAGGCTATCACAGTAACGAAATTATAAAGAATTAACATTATTCGCTGTTCACTCTGGTATCCGTGCCAGTTTACCACCATGTAGATGACAGAAATTATATAGAAACTATATATGGTATTTTACTATAGTCATTTTCTTTTTTTACACTGTCTCGAGCTCTTTTCCATCTTCAACACTTCAATTAGCTTCAGTCATTTGCTGGCTATAATAGCTCGCTGAACTTCTCAGCAAGTCATTCTCTAAAATTCTAGTTTCTCTAAAAAAGAGGAATAGTCCGAGTACAGTTCCTCAAATTGATTGGAAGATTATTAAAAGGTTTTGAGGAATTGAGGCAGATTCCTGGAATGTTCTTGTTTCCATACACTGTCAATTTCAGCGGTGTCGTTATAGTACAGGCTTGTACTGTTGAAACGCATGCAATGAACTTGATTTCATACGATACCATCTCATGATTAATAATATACATGTATGATGATCACGTTTTTCATGAATTGCTTTATGAGCTATAATTGGAAAA